TGGAATATCGCCAAACTGCCGGGGGTTCGCGTGAATGCACACCGCGAGAGATGGTGGAAGCACTCGAACCACTACAACATCAACTCACAGAGTTGACGCTACATTCGAACGGGGCGCTTCTTCAAGTACCCAAGGCAAGAAGAGATCAGCTCCTCGACGTGGTCACATCATTCAAGAATTTTGAAGTCCTTGAGCGTCTCGATATTGACGGCGTGAGCTTATATGATCCGTGGCATCATCTATACGACGGAGAGAACGCAGACACCGTGCGACGATTCGGAAGAATGCTCCCAGAGAGATTGGAAACGTTGGATCTGATGGACTTGAGGCGAGGTCCGGTGGATGATGATTTGCTGGCGTTTGCGTCGCATGTCGGCCAGTGCTGTCCCAAGTTACGGACGATACGATATCGGCGGATGCTTAGTACGACGGACAGGAGCGAAGTTCCTCCAGAAGAGCTGGAAGAGCTGAAGGGGTTGTTTGGCAAGAGTGGCGTTGAATTTGAAGCGGATGAGAGTGGCTACTACAAGGTGAAGTCTTGGAGAAGATAGCATATGGCAAATGATGAAATCAACAACATCTGGTCGTGAAGCCCATGAGTATTGTGCTTCGATTGATATCTCGGTCATCACCATTGTCGCACTGGTCAAGGTCGCCAACCTCGTTTTCGCTTGGGCGACTGCTTGGCGACTGGGGTATCACCAGTCACGACCTTGAGTGTGGTCCCGCCGCGCATTTTAGGGCCTTGGCGATTGCTCACTACCTTGATTTGAGAGATAATATTTCGTGATCCCGCCATCTCCGGAGATGTATTGTTCCTTGGTTTGTCGAATACATCAAGCCGATGATATCCACGATTTTTGGGCCTGACACTAGCAGATTCAGCCATAGAGGGCCGCTATCAAAGACTGAACTCAACACCAATGAGTTTCCCTGGCCCAGAACTCAATAGACCTTTCAGAATAAGCTGCAGCGGTAGTGTTCACAAAGTTGACCCAACCGGGATTTGGTCGCCGTCTGAGGTCGCATTGAGCGCGTGGCACCATACCAAAGCAGGCTCTTGCAGATCGGCTCATTCCATTAGTCCGTCAATCACCCAATCGCCGCCACCAAGTAACCTTTTAAGCTTAAACTTTAAGGGCAGGTGGAAGGATTTTGAAGAGTTGCGTGCGAGTTGCGTTCCCGGCCAAGCTGCTTCGATCAGTGAGCAGGATTCCCCCGTAATCATCATGGGAGTCCGAGTCTTGGCTGTTCAATGGTATGCTTGTCCGATTATCTTGACCTGTTCATTTTGGGAAGGTCTGAAGAAGTATTTACAATCCAAGAGGCCAATACCCCAGAAGTCCCTGTTCGTCGCTAAGCGAGTTCATGAACCGACAGCTGACGAATGTTTCTGGCCTTGCCGAGCTGCCCGATTAGCTGCTTCAGATCGCTCTTCCCTCCGCATCGTGGTGGGTTCCTACGCGGCAGTGGCTGGCCAGCCCCTGGCAATCGGCTCATGCCTTTTGAATGGGTCGCACTTGTCACTGATGTCGAAGCATCCCCGTCCATCACTCGTACCTCTACGCCAAGCAGAAGCAGCCATGCGGGCTCATTCTCCATAAATGAGTGAGGGGTTCTATGACAACACCAATCACAACTTCCTTATCAATCAACGGGATGATGCAGCCTCAGATCACACCTACCGCTTTCTGCAAAGGTTGATCAGTGACACCATAGGAAGTCGCACTACCTTTGGAAGCCTTACCACGGGAGGCACAAGAATAAAGGCGCCTTCTGATTTCCATAAAAGGGGCCGATGATCGCCTGGAAGGATGAATTTCTGACCTCCAGCCCTCCATCCCTCCAGCGTCCAACCCCTGACGTCACGTAGAGTGTACCGCTCACGATGAAGTTCCTCGCTGGCCTCTCCCTCGTGCTGCCGCTGGCCTCCGCCGCGGCTGTCACCCCTCTCGAGAAGAAGATTACCTACGATGGATTCAAGGCCTTCCGCATCGCCACCCACAATGATGCGTTTTCCATCAAGGCAAAGATCGCCAACATCGCCGCCATCCCCTTTAACCTCGACAATAGCGAGCACTTGGATGTGGCCATTCCTGCCGGTGATATCTCCAAGTTCGAGAAGCTCGGACTGGAGACCACAGTGCTGCATGAGGATCTGGGTGCCGACATCGCCGAGGAAGGCACCTTTGCTGCATACGAGAGTACGTTTGAAACATGGCGATGGAACAAGCGCGTGTATACTGACTTCACCAGGCAACGGAGATGCCACCATTCAGGCCCTTCCGGACCTGTCGTGGTTCAACTCGTACCACGCCTTCGCCGACCACCAGCAATTCATCCGCGACCTGCAGTCCAACTTCCCCTCCAACTCTGAGTTGGTGAACGCCGGCAGCTCGTACGGCGGACGCTCACTACTGGGCATTCACCTTTGGGGTAGCGGCGGCAAGGGATCTAAGCCTGCGATCTATTGGCACGGTACCGTCCATGCTCGCGAGTGGATCACCTCGATGGTAATAGTTCTCGCTCATGGTTGCGTCAAGGACTACTAACCAACACATGATAGGTTGTTGAGTACCTCACGTACCAGCTCATCGATGGATACCAGAAGAACGATGCTACTGTCAAGGCCATCCTTGACAAGTACGATTTCTACATTCTCCCCATCGTGAACCCTGATGTAAGAAACTCAATTCGAAACAAAAGACGTGGAACTGACACTCCCAGGGCTTTGCATACACCCAGACCAACGACCGTCTGTGGCGCAAGAACCGTCAACCTAGATCTGGAAGCACTTGCATTGGCACGGATATCAACAGGTACGCATATGACTATCCTCTAAGAAACAAATCACTAATCTCCCCAGAAACTGGCCTTTCAACTGGCAACTCCCTGGTGGCGCCTCCACCAACCCTTGCTCCGAGACCTACAAGGGTGTGGCTGCTGGCGATACTCCTGAGATGGTTGCTCTAAAGGCCTACACCGACCGCCTCGCCTCTGGCAACGGTATCAAGCTCTTCATCGACTGGCACAGCTATGGACAGTATATCCTGCTTCCCTACGGTTATGACTGCTCTGCCCGTGCCAGCAACCACGCACGCCAGATGACTCTCGCCGGCAACACCGCCACGACTATCGCTCAATCCTACGGCACCCGCTTCACCTATGGACCCAGTTGTTCCACCCTCTATGCGACTACTGGCAGTGCTCCTGACTACCTTACAGGTGCTGCTGGCGCGGAGGTTGCCTGGACCATTGAGCTCAGGCCGTCTGGCTCTGCTGGTGGTGGTTTCGTTCTGCCCGCCGCGCAGATCCTGCCCAGCGCGATTGAGCAGTGGAACGGCATGAAGTACCTGCTTGCGAACGTCTAGAATCGAGGACATCTCGGGTGTTTGCACCTACTGTCTCATCCATAGACTTTGTGAATAAACACTCCCGTAACATGCATTTGGACCGAATGATGAATCAGTATTCTTCCGCCAGTAGGTATATGAGGCGTTCTAGACTGCGCTTATTTGACATTAGGAACTGTTTTCGTGATCTCCTCACTGTCCAGACGCTACGCTACGCTGCGCCAATGCAAAGTATTGATTAAGATTTTAAGACTCAAAGTCGACTGCTTTTTCAGGTTTCTGGTTAGTGTTCGGTTGGAATTTCTGATGGCGTTGATGTGGCTTAGCTGAAGACCCGCAATCATCTGGTGGAGGATTGTTCGAGAGAGCGCCTTGTCTTCAATGTCAAGCTGCAAGCAGCCAACATCGGCATTAGAGACTCAGGCCATGTTTCACCCGTACTAGCTCAGTGCGACCCGTACCGCAATCGCCGACAACGGCTTCGGCACTTGATCCCACTTCCACGTGCTGGGGACCGACCGGCAACCCGGAATGTGAAAGCCACAGTTGAATCTCTTGTCAGATTCTGAGACAAACCAAACTTCGAACCCGGAACTCTCATAGTTCCTGTTTTGCAAGTCTATAGACATCAACTTAACCGTCAGTCCCAGGGACAGGATACTTCGAAGACGAATGCAACCTTGGGGCAATGATGAGGTGTCCAGATGAAAGTTGGTCAGGGAAGAGAACTGGCACCTTTCTGCCACAAATCGTGCCCAATCATTTCAAACAATTGACCATCAGAGACACGAGATCCCACCCTCAACTATTATTTGGATGAGTGCTTGCTAGTTGGCGACAGCGCTCAAGTCCGCCTGCGGTGAAGCCATGGATATGTTCCAGCTCAGGTGGATGCATCCATGTGGAGGTTTGAATGCTGAAGGCTACCTAAAGCACATTGATCTTCCGTATGAATCTGCAAGTTTCTCTGGCAGTGAATATCCCTCGGTGTAAGCATTGTGCTTGAGGACGTCAATGGTTTAAGCGAATGTCAAGCACATCAACTGTCGGAAGTACAGTATTATTCAGAATGGCATGTGTTTTTGCCGTTTTCCAAATGGCATTTGGAAAAGCCCATAGCCAAAGTACCAGCGGGTCTCTTTCACAGCTATGAAACATTCGTACGGTGCCTTAGCCCCGGCCACAAGTTTGCCACAGTGACCTAAACCCAGTACTGGTGGCTCATGCGCCAGTCAAGCCGACGGAAACTTGTCAGATATTCCGAATGCATTATCGGTAGCCAAGACATCTTGAGACAGGCTAGTAACAAGATGAAGGTCGAGAGACAAGAAGATCGCGTGATACAGCTTAGTCGAGGAAGTCAGACTTCAAACCATCCAGCCATCGATGACTCTTGCAGTAGAGACGGAAGATCATTCGTCGGGGCATTACGACTGTCGTTTTGGTCAGCTCAGAAACAAGCTCAGTACGAACGAAAGGATCTACATAAATTGACAGACATGCCACTTAATGGCCGTGCTAGAACCATTGCATTGAGACTGTTTTTCACATTTCAATCGTCTCTCATTTTCTACTCATTCTGCGCAACACGTGCCACGAGAAGATTTGCCTGCCACTTCAAAAATACCTCAGGGTCAGTTTGCGGTGATGGACACGGTTAGGATGAACATCGAAAATCCTGAAAAGCTCCTGACCTCATCGGGGTCTTGTGCCAGACAGGACTATAAAAACGACATATCTGTCACGCGGACTAGCTCTACCCCAACCGCCCCTTCGAATAGCCAGTCATCGGCATGCGGTTTTCCCAAACGGCCGCCGGCGATTGTTCTCATCTTCAATGGCTGGTGGTACATGGAATTGGTGTGCATATTTCTATCTTATGCATTGTTCGCCCTCTACTACTGGTGTCTTACACAAATCAATGGTCAATCCGAGACCAAGCCGGGCATTTTCAGCTCCATCCCGGTTTTCGACAACAACGCATCCGTGCTTTCGATGATATCTGTTGTCCTCAAACTCCTCATGTTTGTGCCAGTTTCGTCCGCGATGGGTCAGTTAAGCTGGTACCGCCATTGGGATACTGCGTCAAAGCCAGTGGCAGATTTGCATACATTTTATGCAGCGTCCAGGGGACCATCAGGATCATTTAGGTTACTATGTTCACGCTACATCTTGTGAGTATTGAGTGTCCCGTCTTCGAAAAAATAGGACCGAAAGTGAGTTCGCTGACACTCTCCTAGTAACTCCTTTCACACTACTTTGGGCGCCGTCTTGACCATTGCAGCGTTGTACCTGGGTCCTTCGATGCAGAACGCAATTGCTGATAATTTCAACCTCGAAAGTGCATTACCACTAAGCACGCCAATGGACGGCGAAAATGCGACAATGACTTTCCTCGACCGATATGATCACCACCCACCTATTGAGGTGTCCATTGTGGACGAAAAGAATATCACCACCGACCCACAGTTGGAGATTTCCCTTTATTATGCATGGTTGTACAACATGAATCCACAGAGAACTACCGCGCCAGTTGTTTCGGTATCTGTGAATTGCACGCAGGCAGTTTGCGAGTGGCAAAATTATACTACACTCGTCGCCAAAAGTCAGTGCCAAAGTGTGCCGGCTAATATCAGCTCCAACGGATTCGGTTACTCGCACAAAGCAAACATCAACAGTTCTGTTGATACTGGTGGAAGTATCAACGCCTCTGCTGCTCCCGCCCTCCTCAAGTTCCAGACAAGCCCGACAATCCCCGAGAATAGCAGTTTCACGGCATTCTTCCCCGACCAGTCGGTTGTCATGGTTCATCTTGCAGCAATCGCCGACTTAGGCCTCCGCGGGGTGGTAGCCACAGAATGTATTCTGCATTGGGAGGTGCGGCATATTCCAAAAGTTCAACTCTTAACGTGGAGCTTGGAGACATTCAGTCCTTTGGCGGATGAATGGAATTCAACATCATACAACATAGCACAATCAGGACAGTCGGCAGTCGGCAACGAGTTTGTGTTCGTAGCTCCCTGAAACACAGACCGTGGAGCCGACAGTTGCGAGTACAAAGTTGATCGCGATGCAGCCCGTGAGCTACAAAGGCCTCTGCAAGAATTCTTTCCAGGCTATGTCCTAAGAGACTCGCCGAACGACTCGCGTCTCAAAGCGGTGGGAAAGGCAATGGATATCTTTGCCCGGTCCTGGATTGATAGCGCCAGCGTCGATTTGCGAAAGTCTCTGACAATGACCTTAGACGATTACATGTCAAACATAGCGGACGCTGTTACCGGCTACATTACATCAACATCTCCGCAGGCGTCAATTGGGCAAACGGCACCATTTTTCTCCTATCTGATCAGATGGCATTATATGATATACTCGGGCGTTATGTTGGTGTTATCCACGTACTTACTACTCTACGCAATGTGGAAGACACGGCGGATGCCGGTATGGAAAACGTCCCTCCTCCCCTTCCTTTACCATGGATTTCAGACCCCGGCATATGAGGAGGGATACGATCTGTCACATGTGGCATGGATGCAAGAAGAGAGCAAGAACAGAATGGTTGCTTTGCGTGATGAACAGGACGGCCATGGCCTGAAGCTCAGGGAGGTTAGGAGGCATGTTCCCATCTGAGGGTGCACAATGTATTTACGTGCAGAAAATTGGGCGGAGACTAAATCCAGATGGAACCCGTTGTCATCGTTTAATCTACGTAAAAGAGATCTGATTGTTGAAAAATGAGCTCCTCTCGTTCAATTCCACTCAACATCATTTGGATTTTAGAGTTTATCATTGAAAGTAACACCGACCTGAAGTATTTATGAGAATGTGAATCTCGAAATGCACAACTTCCAAGCAATCATGGGATTGATGATCCCATACACATCTTTTATGAGAGACCAGGAACAAAGGTCTTGGCTATTAACGATCTTCTGCTTGGTAGCGCCAGTCTTTCTTTCGTCTGTTAATGTACATCTTGTAGACTACGCTCTGAGAGATCATTTTGACCAGTTTTTGAAATTTTGTAATCTTTTGGTGTTGACGTGGCGCGCTGAAATCCCGCAATCGGCCCCTGAAAGGCGGTTCGGCGCGGTCGAGAAACGCCCGAGTCTCAACCTAGAACTGTCGTTTGGCATGCGAGCGTCAACGCACTAAGACCTTACCCAGGCCAGCCGCCTTCACTGAACACTGGCCTGCACCATCATCGCCGATAACGGCTCTCGCGCTCATGGACCACGTGTTGTAAGGGCGACTTGCGGCGAGGAATGCGGAGCTCTCAGCTGAGGTTCAGGCCAAGCTTTGAAAAGACCGGTCTGAGGACCCAAATTCATCAGTTTTACGTTGAAAACCCAAAATGGCATGTCTTCCGCGCCAAAACTGACTGTTTGGGTGTGTCAAAGACGAATGCAACACTGGATCTCTCAGACCATGTTTGGATATTGATGACCGTGGACGCAGCCCCGACGCTTTGCAGTGAAACATCACCTGTTGATTCGTTGCGCAATGGTTTTCCCCGGAGACATACGCCATACCGCCGCGGGAAAATACTTTTCGACTTTTTGGTTTGTCAATTGCTGAATCGACATACGCCTGCGGCGATGCTTGACGTACATCCGTCTCGTAATACTTAGCTACTAGTATCAAAGTCTCCTTCGCACACTTGATTCTCCGCTTCAACGCTGAGCAGCTACTTAACTTTAGCATTTGGGCCACTCCCAACATCGAAAGGCGATCACTGTGACGTTTTCCATCACTTGTCAAACCAGACGAAACAATTACCAAACCCTTTTCCCATCTTGATCTCTGAGCCACCCCAACTCACATCAATCCCAACGAACCATATACGACATCATGGCATCAGAGAAACACAGGGACTCCACTATTTCTACGATAGTCTCCAAAGACTTGGATCCTGGTCTTCACAGCGGCTTACAGTCGGCGGGACTACAATCCTCCCCTTCACCAGAGACCAGCGCTGCCCTCTCCCATGCTACATGTATCGAGCCACCTTCGACGGTCTCTACATTACTCACTGGTTGGTGGTATATTGAAATAGCCTGCATGATGCTGTCTTTCTCAATATTCGGCCTCTACTGCTGGTTTCTCAGCACTTGGAACGAGTATCGAGTGTCCGACTGGGACAAAAGAGTGCCGCACGTTTTCACCAGCTTTTTCGTCAAGAATCTTGGGTCTGCGGCATCTTCTATCATCACAGTTCTAAAGATTCTCTCATTCATCCCAATCACCGCCTCCATGGGCCAGCTCAAATGGCACTACTTTCTACGCCGGTATTCGCGCCCAGTGGCAGAGCTGGAAACATTTGATGCAGCGTCCCGTGGTGTATCAGGGTCAATTAAGCTCCTCGTGTCGGGTAAAAGATTGTACGTGCACATTTATTGTCATGTTTTGCTTCCGCTAACTTCCGAAAGTCACTCTGTTCACATAACATTGGGTTGCCTCCTCACCCTCGCCACACTATACCTAGGATCTGCGACTCAAAACACCATCACGTCTCCCACCGAGGTGTATTGGCCACTAGAACGCGGGATCAACGAGACTGAGGTTGCGCTATTGCCTGTAACTGAGCTGCTCGATGTCACAGCGAGACGCGACATTCTTGGCGTCGACAGTCAGAATTTCCGAGAGGATCCCGGCATGCAAGCAGCATTATTCACTGCCTGGTCATTCTATCTTAACCCACAATTCGAAAATCAAACAATCGATCCAGTTTTGGCAAACTGCTCGTCCACGTATTGTCGATGGCATAATACAACTACACTAGACGTCGATTGGCGCTGTTTTGGTGCCTCAGCGACCGTTGACACCAACGGACACGGATACTCGCAAGAGGCTAATATAACCTCAAGCGTCGATGTAGTCATCAACGGATTGCCCAAAATTCGGCAAGCGATATTGAACCTCAAGGCAAGCCCCAAAATACCGTCAAACAGTGGATTCAACACGTCGGACTATGAAAGCATGGCAGTGATTGTGCATCTTGCCGCAATCGCTGAGCATGATGAGCAAAGCTTTGATGCGTCTGAATGCATTTTCTTCTGGACGGCAACGCACGTTTCCGAAACAATCTATCATAACAAGTCAGGCACCACCCTTAATCAAACTGTTGCATTCATGCAACAAGTTCCCGAGAACCGAACGTCCACTGAGGACGAAAAAGACATTGTCTTCAAGGCTCCCTGCAGTGGCAAGAAGAATACCGACGTATGTCATTTCAACGTTACCAAAGAGGCACATCTAGCTGTTCGGAAACTTCTCACAGACTTCGCAACTGGGTATGTGTACCGAGATCCTACCCGGAATGGTACGCTCTTCATACCCAGCAGTCCAGTGATGAATGTGTTCGCATGGTCATGGAGGACGAACCTTGCACTAATTTCGAGGTTCCCGAATCCCTTGAACACTACCTTGAGCTTTTACATGTGGAATACTGCTTGGGGTCTCTCTGGGTATATCCGCACCAAGGACTCCACGCAACTGGATGGAGAAAATGGTTCATTTGAGCCAATATTCCACATCGAATGGAAATACACCATTTACCCAGGGGTTATGTTGATCCTAACACTGTATCTATTCGCCTTCACGGTGCGGGCTACCCGCGATATGCCGGTATGGAAGTCATCTCTCCTGCCTTTCTTGTATCATGGCTTTGACCGCCCGGCTTTGGTCTCGGACTATGATCTTTCTAGCTTGCCTTGGATGGAGGGATTTAGTAAAGAGAAAAGAGTAGTCTTACGGGATACCGGGGATGGTCTTGGACTTAGACTTAGAGATACGAAAAGAGGCATTGCCGATGAAGATTTCCAGCACTAATTTCAGGAACAATGAATGTTCATACACTTAAGTATGCTATGATCGAAAGTTGTTATTTTGCCAGTTTTCGGCGTGATTACATGTTCGCATCATTGTCTCTTTCATGTTCCATGACTACACTGAGGCTTTTTACGCAGCTTTATACTCTCTTAGTAAGAAGTGAGCGTGGGTGAAATGTGGGAAACTATAGTAGTCGTATGCAATCATGCATTCTACTATCTGTACCTTCGTAGAGGCCTGAGGCTTCCATAACGGTATTGCAGTTTTGAAAGAGTCTCGGAGAGATCTTTCGCTACTCTTGTAAGAACTCCAATGAACAGAATTTGAGGTTGATAATGAATTTACTGGGTCTCTCTGAGCCCATTCCATTTCGAAGATTTTAGTACCGCTACCTTAGAAGTTACAAAACTTGAGTAACACCCTGCATTAGTTTTCCCGCCTTCTCCACGCATCCAGTCGAATCGCAATTCATCGTAGCAAACTCCATATTTCAATATCATAGAATTCGTCACATCACCCAACGAGACATGTGCGACTTCCATCTTCACCTGCACTCTCCCTCCGAAGATTTTATTCGCCGGGCTAGATCCTGAGTGAGCTAGATATTAAGCCACGTTCTATTGCTCAACATGAAATTGGCTACATGTCACTCTTGTCATGTCTCTATCAGTGCTGCAGATATACCCGCATGTTGCCATGAATATGATGCATGAACAGCGAGGGCGTTTAGGGTGGTACATGATTCATGACACGATCAACTAGCAGTTTCTCAGCTTCAGACCTAACCCGTCGCCATCATCGCGCAAAACTACTTGCTTCTGTTTACTTGCTTCCTCCATCCATGCTAAGTTCCGGCAATGATAACCTGGCTCGGTTGCCGGAAGCTCGAAGCCATGATACAGAAATGGAAGTAAAGAAGTCTTCCAAGTAGGCTCCCCTTTCGTCCGCCACATAGCATAAGCTAATAGATAGATTGTCAGACCTAGCATACAGCCTGGGTAGGCTACGTAGCGTTTGTTGATGCTGAAGATTTGTTCATCCTTGACAACCTGCCCTGCTACCGTGTCATTAGACAAAGCCCTTAACGCAGCGCCTACTCCACGGCCAATCTGGCGAGCATAGCCGTCCATACTCAAGTTTAGGGAAGTATATGCTCCAGGACTCGGGGAATGCACCTGCCATGACGCTTGGAAAGTGTTGAATATAGTGTTGTCGGATCGGAATATATTTTGTGTTTTTGATTTGAGTCGGTATGTAGAACCGTCTAGCACACGCACAAGAAAATTGCGAAGTCCCTCATGTGCTTGGTGCGTGATAGTGTATCGACATTTGTTGCCACCTGGATCTTCATTGCTTGTTAGGTTATGGCCAACGTTGCAAGGAGCCTCGATGACGATGTACTTCTCTCTACCCGTAGGCAGGCTAGTCAAGAGGTCGTAGTAGCCCGTCGGGTTACCTTGTTCAAGCGAGAGGTTGTCGTCATTATAAGTGCTAGAGCCCCACGTAGCCACTGACCATCTGAAAGCGCATTCGGCCGCTTCAAATCCACCGTCGCTGCTCTCGGCAATGGCTGCCAAATGACCAATAAGTGCCGGGCCATTGGAGTATGTAGATACGAAAGCACTGGTATTGGGAATGGTCAGACTTGGTTGTAGACGTATCTGGGCATACGCAAATGATCCGTTCGAGTGCGGCAATCTGACACGATTGGTTATATTGGCTTGATTGGAAACCGCAAAGCCTTCGGGATCGATAACGACTGATGCATTAGTACATTGGTAATCGACGGAAATAGTAGTGATGTTTTCCCATAAACAGGTTTTCGTAGAGCAAATAGCTGGTATGGTGGTGACTTGTTGCTCTCTCAGCTTTCCGGAGACCTTCGGCTTCCACATGCGAGACCATGCGGCGAGCAGCGCCGCCTGCATATGTGGGTCCGCATCTACGTATTCTTGGTTCGTACCATTGATGTTAATATGAGGTATGTCGGGACTTTCTGAGACACTGTAGAGTTTACAGAACGGAATCCTTGCGTTTAAAACACTAGGGACTTCCGATTGGTTGAATGTGCCGCCGTGTTGTATAATCGCGCTCTGGCCCAAGGTCTGTAACCCCTGGGTCCCGAGTAGTAGAATGCAGCCAAGAGAGATATTGAAAGAGTGACTGCAAGAGGAATCAGCAAATTTGGTATCATTTATTTGCCACGGATCGCGGTTTTCCAATCGACGTGATTGACTCACAAAACATTTTTAGAGAGAAGCAGCCTGGCAGATCCAAATGTGCCTCGAGATGCAGCGTCAAAAGCTTGCAGATCTGCAACCGGTCTGGGCCACGGCCGTGCGAAGTGATGCCATTTCAGTTGGCCCATCGCTGCTGCAATAGGATAACTCAGAAAGACCCTAAATGCGGTCATGACAATTGCAGCAGCTGCTGGAAGATTCTTGAGCGGGGAGAGCCGAGCCTGTGGGCCATGCCAATGGCTTACAGGCTTTCCGTCATAGTATGCCAAAAGCCACCAGTACGTTGCAAAGAAGCCAACAGAAATGGCGGTGGATGCAAGCTCCAGACTCCACCATGCGCTGACAAGCGTGTAGCCTATAGATGGCGGCCTGGTTGTATGATGGTAGTCCTCAGTTGGAAACTGAGGATGAACGTGTGTCGTGCTGACCTTTTTATCGATCGTGTACGCATTATCGGCTACAACAGTTGATGCCGCAGAGTCGCGCTGCTCACGGGAGGTCACATTGACATTGTTGTGTGACATGCTGTGCATTGTTCAAGTGGAGGGAAAACGAAAACCAGCTCCCGCAAGTCGCTGTTGTTGATGCGGTCAAGACGTATCTCCAATCAAACCAGTGGAGGATTTGGGGAGTAATCTTATACGATAAATTTGCTTTCCCTACCGTAGCTGGCCAACGTTAGTGACGAGATTCGATTAGTGAAGTCCATCTTCAGCTTCACCGATGGACGCGAACTCCCCTTTTGGAATCCAGCTGAACACGGTCAAATGCCTATTTGTGCCAAGCATTATTTGTTGATTTCGTCTTGCGACATTTTCTAGTTCTGCTTATGTGGCACATTGAACAAGCTATCGCTCAGCTCAATCTATCATGCATCTTCCACGATGGGAAACCGGTGCTTGTACTTATTTCACAGTACTCTTGCTGCTTTGAGCCGCTCGTCCGGCAATTCTCACTTGGCAAATGTGTTTTCAGGAGATCCGTCTCAGCCTCGATCACGTAGTGAAACACGGTGAAATATAGGGGTCTTGTGATTAGCGGCTTGCGAACGTCATGAGTGGCGGGTTGCTCTCATAAGTAAACTTGGATTCGGTTGTGTATCATTGATATCATTGGCCCGAGCGAAGCATCTAGACAGGCCTAATCGTCGCTTTGGTTGTCGGCACTCATTTACACGGTGCGGCCCGATTGCCATTGAGGCTTGAGAATCACTTGCATTATTTGAAAGCTCGCGTGTCTCCAACCGGAATCGAAGTCCTAATTGGGGATAAGCGCGATAGTTAGAGTTGAGACATCAGTCGAGGAATGATGGCAGGCTTGTCGCAACGCCTCGTCTGGACAATCTCAACTGAAATCGGATCTGACCCGCTTTCCCTGATGTGCCCAGTGCATTAGTTCAGTCCCAAAGACGGGGGTTTGGAAAGAGACGCAAATGATCTCCACTAGAAGTGAGGGCCTTACCCAAGCCGGATTTTCAAACGTTCCAACTATGCCGAAGTCGGAGTAAATCGGAAATGAGCTGTATGTAAAGTCCCATGCGAAGCATTTGTGCGGAGGTCTAGAATGAGTAGCCTGAAGTAAATGAGACATTCCATCGTGACAGACACCTTTCCTATTTGGCCATCTCCGTTATCATCCCCGGAGTCGTTATTCCGCCGTCAATATCTCTACAGATCATAATCTTGTATTTCGCTATACGCTCCTTGTCATGTCACATGTGTGAACGGGACACGGGCAGTTTGCAACTTGACCACCAATGAACCATGCCGTATTTGGGCCTCTCCAAGCGTGGTGATTGACTAACTTAGTAGAGCAATATACATGGTTATTCCGCAGTCATGTTGTAATCGTCACTGAATTCGGCTTTTACGGCTTGCTTTATGCCATGATGAGTCAGAGCACACTCGGAGAATGCTCGGCTGTAGGTCATGGTCGTAATTGATTTCAGTGCCCCTACTTGACCAAATTATTCAAAGTCGCTCGGTTGACTTGCCGTATATCCTATTGCCGTCCCTCCTCCCGGGGTTTTCTGTAGCTTGTGGGTGTCAGGAGACCAGCCAACCACCCAAAATCAGAGCGGCATTTTACAGTTCCGCCTTGGCAAGCGGTGATATGTGCATGACACCGTGTTGAGATCCCCCGAACCCGCAGGAAGGCCCAAAGATGACGCGATGAGGTGCATGCGGGGTTCTGGGGAAGACCAGGGTTTGCAGAGTCTAGACAATTCACCCCACCGGGGGCCTTGGCTTGGGCTTATCCGTTCCTCAAAAGGCGTTTTTGTTGGTGCAAAGTCCGTAGATACCGTCTCGGCGGTGGTTGGACGTTTTGCAGACGACGATATAAAGACTGCGGGGTGGGCCATCGCAGCCATGACTGTTTTTGCGTTGACAGAGCTCAACAACCGGAGGTAATCATGGAGAAGCATACGTCAACTACGGAGCATCACGTCGAGGCAACTACCTCTGCGGTGGAAGCCGAGAAGGGCGACCTCAACAATCGCCATGTGAAGCAAGTAAATGTCCAGTCGGTTGCGCTCGCTGATGCTATCGCCAAAGATAAGCCCGACTACAAGTCAGCAACGCAGATGACATTGTACGCCATGATGGCACTTTGCGTTCTGAGTAAGTCGCAGAAATTGGTCGGCGGATCTATCTGGTGTCTGAGCTAACGGGACAACTTCAGATGGCGTCATGAATGGCTATGATGGCTCAGTCATGAGCGCTATCAACGCGATGGACCCCTTCCAAGACCGCTTCAAGATTGGCTTGACTGGCGAGCTTAACGGTGCAGTGTTTTCCATCTACACCGTTGGAAACATTGTGGGTAGTCTCGCGTGCGGCTATATCATGGACCGATGGGGCCGTCGAGCCTGCATGTTCTCTGGGGCCACGTCAATCATCCTCGGTTCCGTCCTTCAGGCGAGCAGTTATCAGCTCCCCCAGTTTTTCGTCGGCCGCTTTATTGTTGGTATTGGAACTCCGATGTGCGCAACTTCTGCGCCCGTATTCCTCGTCGAGATTGCCTACCCAACTTGGCGCGGTCTCGCTGGTGGCTTGTACAACGTTCTTGGCTGGTACATCGGCGCGAATAGTAAGTACCTTGCCAATCTAGATCGTCCGTCCGAATTTCGGGATACATTTTCTGACATCTTGGACGCAGTCGCTGCATGGACATGCTACGGCACAAACTTCATCCCCAACGATTGGTCATGGCGCATTCCATACATCGTACAGCTTACTCCAGCCACTATTGTGGTGTCCCTTGCCTGGTTCCTCCCCGAGAGTCCTCGATGGCTATGGTCCCAGGGAAAGACCGAGAGAGCAAAATCAATCTTGACCAAGTATCACGGCAACAAGAACCCAAACTCGGCCCTGGTCAAGCTTGAGATTGATGAAATCCAAGAGTCACTCGAGCGTGAACAGGAAATGAATAACCACAATTGGAACTACAAGATTCTCGTCAACAATCGTCCAAACCGTTACCGCATGTGGCTTGTAATGCTAGTTGCAGTCTTTGCGCAATTCATAGGTGGGGCCGTCATCTCGTGAGTAGAGACCCGACTTCAATGTTTCCAAGAGAGGTGCACTAGCTAAACCAACTCCACCAGGTACTACCTCCCCGCCATGGTCAGAGGCATCGGTATTACAGACTCACGCCGCCAATTGCTTCTCAACGGACTCAACACAGTCACTTCTTTCGTGGGTGGTCTCTGTGGATCCTTCTTTGTTGACAAAGTTGGCCGTCGTCCTCTTTTCTTGTGGGGCACGTTTCTCACCGGCTTGGTCTACATCCCGATCAATGTGCTCGCAGCCAGGGCAGAGAACAGCGAGGAAGGCTCCCTCCCCACATCGCAAGCATATTCTTTCATTGCAATGATCTTCCTCTACGGCATTTTCTGGTCATTTTGCTGGACGCCCCTGCAAGCCCTGTACCCATCCGAGATCCTCAATAATGAGATCCGCGCGAAGGGTATGGGTGTCAAGGGATTCATTTCGGGAGTTGCCAGTTTCATCAACACATATGGAACTTCCGTATCTCTAAAGCATATTGGCTGGAAGACTTACACTATTTTTCTTGTCCTTCACTTCGTCCATCTAGTACTGATGTACATGGCCTGTGTGGAGACGAAGGAGCGGACTCTGGAAGAGATCGAGGAGATATTCAACGATCCAAAGCCGGTCAAACGAAGTCTTCAAAAGACCCGGGTGCTTGTCGACAGCGGAGGAGTAAAGGTAAAGGACGAAGTTTAAGCTTGATTGTAGCCGCTGGAATGACTTGACAGAATCTCAGTTATTTATAGAGCATTCCACCTCATTCTGCTCGCCAATTTCACTCGATACGAATTCTCAGACATTATCATTGGAAACTTACTGTATCACGTATGCTTTTTTTTCAGTTGTCATAGAGAAATTATTCTTGGTCTTGGGGCTATACAAAACCTTCAAAATATCAGACGTAGCGCCCAAGATATGTATTAACCATTCATCATTAGGACCGGGGTAGGTGCACGCCTTTAGTCATCACAACTAGTACAAAGTTTACTTGGGCGCTTGTATTACAGGGCATAAGCCGCTAGGGTCTTGGAAGTAAGCGGCTTTTGAATTCCGCTTCTGATTTCCAACCGCCAAGATATGCAGTCGGAAATCGGTGGTCAGAACGTAGCGAAGGGGCCTCTAATCCACGGAAATAGCACTGCCTCATGGGGTGATTGCACTGATCCTTCGCCAATCTAGTGAACCAGCATTTCTAAGCTACTCCAACTGACACTCATGAGCAAAAGGCGTCCCATGAAATGTTTCAAACTCCGCCATCGTTGGAATAAGTATAAAAGCCAACTGCGCCAGTCAAAATGTTCCCTCATGTCGAACTGAGCTTGTATCCAAAAGTATAGGCCTTCATTCAATTTCATTCGCCATGCCTTCTCGCATTACCGTTCTGCCTGCATCGACACAGGCAGGTAGACACACCATTCGATTCTTACTTCGGTCGGAATCAAAACCGTTTGTCCGCGGAATCTACCGAGACACCACGAAAGCGCCCGTCGAATTTACCAGTCTCCCCAACTTTCAAGCGGTTCAAGGAGACATTGCCATTGGGAAAGGTCTCGACTTCACCGACTCAGATGCCGTGCTTTACATTCCACCACCAACCTGGGATGGAACTGACCAAGAAGAATTCGCTCAGAAGACGGCCAACTTTGTTGCAAACGCACTGAAAGAGTCTCGAAGTGTCAAGAGATTGGTCATCCAATCGGCGTTAGGTGCCCAGCATGAACCAGAGAAAATTGTGAGTCTTGACTGGAGCAAAACCACGATGCGGCAGTCACTGACCATGTATCAAGGGCACACTCAAACTCAACAACATCGCGGACTACATTCTTAGAGATGCGGCACCAGAGGTTATCATTGTCCGACCAGGTTACTATTTTCATGTTTGGAAAGAGGCCCTGAAGACCATGCAAGAAGACCCGCCGAGGTTCGAGTCGCCATTCTCACCAGCAGACTGGGAGATTCCCATGGTAAGCTCATAACGTCCAGCGCACGAGAGTATTCGCTGACGGTCTCGAAGCTTAGCACCAAGGATATTGGCCAATATTGCGCCGAGACGCTTCTTGCCGACGCGATCGACCCAAGTAAGCGAGACGTGAGACTTTTTGGCCCCCAGCACTACAGCCCACTCGATGTAAAAGAAGCTCTTGAGGTCGTTACCGGAAGAAAAGGCGAAATGGTTCTGGTCCCCGAGGCTGGACTTGCGGAGTACTGGGGCAAGCAGATCCCGGAAGTCTATCTGCCCGAGTTTGTCAAGTTCATCAAAGCACAGCTGCCTGGTGGAGTAATGGCTCAAGATTATGAAGATGGCAAAGACTCGATAAGATGTCATACCAGCTTGGAGGAAGAGTTGCGGGAGATGCTCGCACCACATATATGAGCGTCATGATCGTCTCGCCAGACCTTCGCAATACAACATGTCCGAAGCGTTGCAATGAATGTCGGCCATTGGCAAAATGTCCGATGCCGTCCGTATTCGTCCGAATTGCGAAGCGGTCAGAAGAACAACGAATTACTGTCATACCTATTGTGGGAGGCCTAGCGGCCGGAGGGATGGGCTGGTTGACCTACGCCGTCAGTGAACTTCGAAGTCGACGATGAGAAAGCAGGTTGATTTACTAGGTACTCTAAGTATGTCTAGTCATCCAATGAGCTGAGAAATCTCAAAACGACCTTTTGATGCGTTAACTATCCTATCCGTAAACTCTGTTTGCTACGTTGCCCTGCAGAATTTGTAGACAAGTTGGAATTGGAGCGGTTCCCCTCCCACCGGCTATGAGCTGTAGCTTCCGGACCCCGAAATAGTTCGCCTCGTCCCATTTTGACGTAACCCAGGAAATAGGCGATCCCTGTTTTCCACCTGCAATCTTCATTTTGGTTGGTCAATGAAACCATCACATTGACATTGATTGGCTAGCCTTCACCCTTGGGATGGATGCAGTTGGAACTAAAGCGAGCGGCTGCAGGTGATCACGCGAAGATCAAGGTAGACTTCCCGTCCACGAGTTACATCCCGCGAATTTTGAATCGCGCGACTGATCAATTATCCGTGTTTTGAGAATTTGACCCCGTTTCAGAACGTCTCTTAGGGTATTATCTGGGGTATCTGCTTACGGCTTTACTTGCGAGTCCGGCGCCGAAAGTGCCAGTGAAATCAGTCAGAGCATGGGCTAAAGATTCTCCCATTTCTTTACGTATATGTTGAAAGGGAACTCACATCCTGGAAAATACTCCTCGCTTTGTGACTTTATCGCCTTAACCTCAGCACCGAGTCTTCACAATGCACGTCATCGGAACTGGCATGCTCCCTTGGGCGTGCATAGGCCTTACCACATTCGCAATAATTCGAGTGAGTTCAGAAAGCACAAAGTCTCGATAAGCAAGAGGGTTTTGACTAGAATGATGATCTGACTATACGTCCAGTTACTATTCTTGGGCTTGTGTAATCCCTTGAGCCACATTCCTGGGCCATGGTACCCTAGATTCACACATTATGTCTTGAAATACAAGACCATGAGCGGCTGCCGGATTCACTACGTGCATGCTCTGCATTCCCGCTACGGACCTATCGTCAGGATATCGCCGTTCCAAGTTGCTGTTGCAGACCCCGAAGGATTTACCGCCATCCACCGTATTGGGTCTGGTTTCGTTAAGACCCAGTGGTATGAGGACTTCTCCGGTGGATCCGGCATTGGGATCGGAGTCTTCGCCATGACAGACACGAAAAGACACGCAGCACGACGCAAGTTGTTCGCTCGCGCTTTCTCCACCGTCAACATTCGACAAAATTGCGAATCGGTCGTCAGAGAAAAGGTGGTCAAAGCTGTTGACAGAATCAAGGCCGAGGCACTGAATGGTTCCGCGGACGTCCTCCACTGGTGGCTTCTCATGGCCTCGGATGTGATCGGTCAGCTGGCATTTGGAGAGTCCTTCGAGCTTCTCGAGAGCGGCAAGGTCAGTTACACGCAGCTTTAATGTTACTGGCAACTACAACAGTCTCCACGCGATCAATCATTGAGACTTTTGAGTTCGCTGGCTAATGAATAACAGAAAAACGACTACATCGAAACCCTCCACATGGCCGCGATCAGCGCAACACTCAGCTATGAGTTGCCCTGGCTCCACAAAATCTCTGGATACATCCCCATCAAAGCATTGCAGAGGGTTCTCAACTCCGGCAATAAAGTCAGCGAATATGGCGGCAAGGCCGTCTCCAATTTGATGAGACATAGAGACAACAAAGCAAACATCTTCGCAAATATGCTGGCCGAATGCGACGCGAACGAGAAAGTAGATCTTACGCCGCAAGATATCAGGATTGAAGCCAACAACTTTATATTCGCAGGTGCTGACACTACATCATCGACGCTAACCTACCTTGTCTGGGCTGTGCTCAGGAGACCTGATCTCCAAGCTCGACTGGAAGAGGAGGTAGCGGCTGTTGAGGAGTCATTGCTGCTAGAAGATGCTTTCCTGGAAAAGTTACCCCTTCTGAACGCGGTTGTTGAGGAGACTTTGCGGCTCTACACCGCTTTACCAAGCAATCTGTCACGAGTAGTCCCGTCAAAAGGCACAACACTAGGTGGCTACTTCATCCCTGGGGGTTTCCAGGTTGAGACACAAGCCTTCACTCTCCATCGGAACGCCGAGATCTGGCCCGAACCTCTCAAGTAAGTCATTGACAGCAGATTAGGGGTGCAAATGCTAACAAGTTAAGGTTTGACGAGACAAGATGGCTAAGCCCAGCTGGGCTCGGCCCCTTGCAAAAGAGCACATTCTGCCCTTTTGGCGCGGGCACACGTGTGTGCGTTGGACTTCACCTAGCTCGCATGGAGCTCAGGATGGGTGCCGCATTGTTGTTCAGGAAATGTACAGGTCTGAAGCTTTCGGCATCCATGAAAGAGTCGATGATGGATATGGAGAACTTCTTCATCATTGCACCGGTTGGACACCAGTGTGATGTCACACTGGACGCTTGAGAAAAGGCCGTGACTTCGGCAACCTAGCAATCGCTGTAAAACATTTCAAATAATAGAAGCCGTTCTTCTCCAGATATGAGACACTCTCGAATCATGCCATAACATGAACTGTCGTATTAAGGTTTGGCCTAGGCTGTCGAGATTTTAGCAAGAGCAGTAAAGCACTTCTCTATGTACCCCTTTCACCTCCGATAGCTAGTGCTATTCGTCTGGAGCTCCCTCACAACAAGACTTTGAAGTCCCGACTCTGTAACATTGTCAAGCGGAGCAACAAAGGCCATTTGGCTCCAGCTGAACTGGGTATTGCGACCGCCGTAGACGAATACTTCAAATCGTCCGGCAAACACCCCGTTTATCCACGCTACGCTGCCATGCAAGACATCCGTCTCAATCGTGATCTCTGCTGGGAGTGTCGACACCGTCACCGGATCATGTGTTGAGGTGGTCACATTCACCCAAATGCGTCCCGGATGGCCGGGGTCAAGCTCGAGCGCATCCGTCACACTGACAGATCGGAGCGGGTACAGATAGCCATCCGCGTTGAAAACAAGGCTTCCATCGTTTCTAAGCGATAGTGTATTGTCTGGGCCTGAGAGAGTGAAAGGGCCCGTCGCGTTGAGTGTAAGGGTATAGTTCATTCCCTTACTTCCTTTTCCAAGATGTACTTCCGCAACGTCTTGTTCAGAGCGACTCCACGAGACGAGGGATTTAGTGTGTCCGGTGGGTGGTAGAGTTCGGTCCAGATTCTGCCCAGGTGCAAGAGGCGAAAATACATCGATGGTGGATGAGACTTCGTTGTCCACAAGCTTCAGGCCACGGCTGCCAGACCAGGATCGCGCTCCAACTAGTGCAATTCCTCGACGCATTGCGTAGTATGCCTCAAGCTGAGTAGATGCGTCTGGCCCGTTATCATTCCATGCTGCCAAAATAGCACCTTTATTATCTGGAGACGCGTCCGGTAACTGCTCAGTCTTGTTGAATGGGTTGTAATCGGCCGGTGTCCATTGCCAGCCCGACTCATCGGCGAAGTTGAGCACACGGCTCTCGTTAAAGAACTGTGGGTATCTAGCCGGAAGAATGGGCATGTGATCGTTCTTGATGGACATGTATGCCCACCAATCTTCCGAGTTGATGATTTCGTATCCAGTGTTGGCAAGGAGCACTGGGTCCGACTGCCCGTATTGCCAATGTTGGATAATGACGTCTTTCGAGATGGTGAGATTCTCAGAGGGCTCTTCTGTTCCCCAGATGCGAATTGTTTTGCCGGTTGTGGAGTTGATGAATTCTGACATCTCGTTTACAAAGCCGATGTAGTCGTCAGCGAGCGTAGCGTCGTACTCGTCCGCGCCCACATGGACCTCCTTGGTCTCGAACCAAGGGAGAAACTCAGACCAGATGCGCTTCACCGTTGGGATAGTGTCCGGATGCGAAAGGTTGAGTAAGTCGCGCTTTGTCAGAGATAGCTCTGGCTTCCACTTTGTCAGATACAGGCAGTGGCCAGGTGCCTCAATCTCGGGAATGACAGTGACACCCCTTGCAGCGCAATGGCTTTGCAGATCGGCAAAGTCCTCTCGGCTCAGGGTCTCATTCTCGCGGCCGTGCAGAATGGGTAGCAGCGACTCGTCCTCGGGTCTCAATGAGAAGTGCGAGTAGACGTCTTGCCATGATTCGTTCTTTCCGCGATTGAGCGGGTAGTTGTCGGAGAGATGGTAGTGAAACTCGCTCAACTTGAAGAATGACGCGTAGCTGCACAACTCTTTCAAGAATCCTGGTGCATACCACTTGCGCCCGGCGTCGAGCATGAAGCCGCGTGTCTCGTAGGCCGGTGCATCAATCGTCGTTCCCACAGGAAGGCTTCCGTTATGGGCAACGAGAAGCTGTAGGAGTGTTCTTGTTCCCCACCACATACCCCGGGCTCCAGTGCCACCGATAACTGCGGCGGTAGGGGACACGTTCAGCTCATAGCCTTCCGATGTGGACTTTCCGTTTTGATAGGTGATCGCAGATCTGTTGCCGGTGAAGGAGCCGAGAAGAATACCGCTGGCGTTGACATTGGCGATGCGATCCACACGCTGCAAAGTCCAGTTCTCGCCTGTAAGCTTGCTGATGTCCTCTCGAAAGAGCGTGGCAAAGTCGAGACCACTGGGGGGAATTAATGTGAGGCCGTCGATATCGGTCTTGCTGGCAAGCTCATGTTCAATGAAAATAGTCTTCGAGCTTGTCGCTGAGGACCACACCGCTCCGGTGTCCGCCGATACCGATGTTCGGAGTGGGGGCGGGAGAAGCTGAAGTCCCCAGGTCAGTGCCGGAGCGCACAGAAGCGCCGCGATGATTCCAACAACCATTGGATTTGATGCAGTGCCGTCACAGCTCAACGAAACTCCGATTGGCAACTGTATTCGAAAAAGGTGTGGTCGGTCGGCATTTTGACAGATCAGCACTACTTGTATTGCGTCTGATCTCTCTCGTTTCTCGGGGTTCCCCTCACGTCATTTAACCTAGATAAGAGAGACCCCGCACAACCAGCTGGGATATTGATGTAACAATGCATGTTGTGCGATAGTAACGTCACGCAACGATGATCATTGAATCGGCGCAGGGATGCCGACGAGACCGCCAATCTTTCGTGCCAAGGGTTCTTATGCACTGGGAATACGAGTGAGTCGCTTTGCTGAAGAAACAGACGATGACAACAAACGGTGCTGGGTTCCACAATCACAAGTCTTACGAATCCGAAAGTTGGCTTTGGGATTTGCAAATGGGCAGATCTCAATGTTGCAATTCATCATTGAACTTGCCATGGGGAGTCACACGAGCAAGAGACAATTGCTTTGAGATGTCAAGAACGACACTGGTAGCGAGCAAAGTCGCCTTTCATGCTGCAATCCAAGCAATTGAATTAGTTGAGACAACAAGACTAGGTTTTATTGACATTAAAATCATTAGAAAGACTATTAGCGGTGGTAGAAGTGAAGCAGACGATGGAGACAGCTTTGAGAGCTGTTTACCACAAATGTATGTTGCAGTATTTTTGAGGATTGCTTAGTCTCAGCACAATTACTCGGAGCAAGACCAGCAGAGCGTGGAGTTGACAGTAGCGCAAGAAGTATTCATGGTGGCCTTCTGAGGGTAAGGACACAGGATCTGCTGCTGGGCAGTGTTGTTGGAGGTTGTCACAACGACTGGGGAGGATTGGGGTTCGGTGCCATTCTCAACCCAAGCTCGAAGCTGGGAAAACATATGTTCCGGTTGGCCGCCGTTGCCTCCCCAGCAGTGCTCAAGACCGGGCACGCGATAGTACTTGTAGAACGACGTGACGTTCCCGACAAAGTCTGCGACCTTGTTGTAGTAGCGAAGTGTGCCTCCCGGAGAGATGCTTTGATCGGCCTGGAACGGTCAGTATCACCGCAGATGCAAAGGTCAAATACGACAATTAGGCAACTTACAAGTCCGTGGTAAGTCATCAGCTTTCCGCCGGCGTCTCTGAAGTCTCGCAGGTCGACTTCGCCGGTCTCCATGTTGGAAGCAAAAGTCAATTTGACGGCGCGGTAGATGGTGTCAAAGGTTCCATCAGTGATGTTAGGAAGCGTTGCGCTCGGGTCTTTCGTAACGAAGGCTTGCCAGGGGAAGAGGATGTTTGCACGGCCAGCGCTGGTGCACACCTCACCAGTGCAGCTGGTCGGGGCAATGACTGAGAGATCGCTTCCGATTTCATAACCATCGTACAAAAACCTTCCATTCGAGAAGCGAGGTCCGGTCCATGAAGCGTTGGCGACGGCGGCGGCGGCTTGAGTGATTTTGAGTGTGGTGTTAGTTGTCGAGCAGAAGAAAGAGTCGCCGACGTGGCCGAAGGGATCAAAAGTGGCCCGGCAAGCTTCAGGGTCGCTGATGAGGCCGTCCTTCACGCCATCTAGACTGTCACAGGCCGCAATTCCGAGAGCAGTGAGCGCGTTGAGCTCGCAGTCGCGAGGGAACTGTTGCGTGTTCTCCATGTAGAAGCTGGGCCAGATAGAGTTGATGTAGAACTCAGCCCAGTTCAGCGCGGGAGCAGCCGCCATGATGCCGTCGTAGACATCTGGGTACTGCTGCGCGACCTTCATGCCCATGCGGCCGCCTTGGGAGCAGCCATTCCAATAGGAATAGAGAGGCTCTTGGCCGTAGTAAGATGAAATAAGTTGCTTCACAATGACAGCCTGATGAGACGATTAGTCAGTGCGGCGGAACAGGACGTAGAGCCAGATACTTAACTCACCTCGTCTTTCATGGCGACTTGGCCAAAGTTTTGCAACGCATTCGTGTCCAGAACTCCGGGGCTCTTCAACAGCCAGTCGGTTGGATTTTGAGCAGTGGGGATTCCAGCATCGGTAGTGACGGTAGCATAGCCGCTAGCAACCGCGTTAATCATAGCAGCATAGCTGAGAATGAAGCGGCCCGCCGTCCAGCCGCCACCTCCAACAGCCTGAAGTCGGCCATTGTAATTTTCTTCGGTTGGCAGCCAAGCCTCAACGACAATGTTGTCATCCTCAGTCGTGTGGCTGTAAGTCACAGTGACGTTGCAGAACGTGGCATTCTGCACGTCCAAAGCCGGCTGTGAATATGTCCAACCCTTGGGTACATTGAAACTGTAATCGGTGACAAGATTGGCCTCAACTGAGTGGATTTGAGCTCCGAAAAGGGTGATGTTGGTGAACGCTGCAGAGGCGCAGCCCGTGGCATTGACGGCGAGAGCGGCCATGGTTGCTGTTGCAAAGGGATGCTGCAAGTTGTCGGGATAGCAAGTCATGCATGCTCTGGCTTCTGGCAGAGCTTTAAGTACTGCCACCAGAAACTGGATCGCCGAGATCTTCATCCTAACGGCATGGAGTAAAATGAGGCATTGATCGATGTAATTAATCTCTTTGTCATCCGCTGTCTAGATTCTCGATTTTGAGAGGGCATCTACCATTGATTGAGGGGCGCCGGCGAGGTTCGTCCACTCAAAAAATTCCGTATCGAATACGAGAGCGGATGTGGCCCCATAATTGAGCTGGCTCCGTGCCGGCACTCCGGAGGCCCCGATGTAGCCCATGTCGGCACGCACAATTAGAGCATCATACCTGGCATCGTCAGGAAATTCAAATTTTGCAGAACAAATATTTGGCCATTTTCGCCTGTGGCACTAGATTGATATGCACCTTTACCGTAAACTACCTATTCTTTCCGGAGTCCACTGGTATTTGAGTCTGCAGCAGCCGAGCTCGAACATTGCATTTGAAGAGATTTTACTAAAATGCGATGGATCTAACTGACATATAGTCTAAAGGCCGTTCTTTTGTATGATCAATCATCAAATCTGAATTCTTGACCAACAAGCTTCTCACTCAACGCCCACAACCTCTTCGCATCGACCTCGCTAGTCGCCCACGAGTATACCTCCTCCAAGTCAGGATCAGCAACGTGGCAGTCAGACAGAAAGGCGCCGTTCTGGGCCTTGATGGTCTCATCAAAAGAAGCAAAGACATGAGTAGCTGCCCCTTGATCCAAGGTCTTGATCTGCATCTCGGCCATGCCAAAGAGCCACTTGTTCCCGTAGATGTGGTCCATCTCCGTCAGGTCTGCCGAAAAGGCGGCTTGGTCTTGTAGCCCATGTGTTGCGAGATTGGTAAAGCTCACACCAGGACACATGCCGAAGGACAGGAGGCCCTTGTCGCCGAGCTTCCTGGCCAATGCCAAGGCCGTGAGTGCATTGGCCGTCTTCGACTGGCCGTACGCCAACCACCTCTGGTAGTTCTTGCCCTCATTAAAGTTGTAGTCGGTCCAGCGAATGTTGCCGACGCGGTGGCAATTACTCGACACGAAAACGACCCGAGGAGCTTTGGCGGCAAGCATCTTCTTGATGATCAAGTTGGTAAAAAGAAAGTGACTGAGGTGGTTTGTTTGAAATTGACTCTCGAAACCATCTTCTGTCAGCTTATATGGCACAGCCATAATTCCTGCATTGTTGACAAGCAGATCAATCGCAGGAACATCGGCCCAAGACATGACTGTCTCGGCAGCTTTGCGGACGCTGCTGAAGGACATGAGATCCATTGGAAGAAGCTTGACGATGATATCCGGATGGGCGGTCTTGAGGGCACTCGCAACAGGCTGCATCTTTGAGACGGACCGGCTGGCTAGAATAACAGTCCCAGGCTTGCCCGCGGCCACTTGTGTGATGAAGCTCTCGCCAAGACTTCCAGGTGAGGGGCCTGTGATGAGAATAGTCTTTCCGGCGATTCGAGGTGCATGGAACTCTACGAGCTCGCTAGCAGTCGTGTTGGAATTGCAAGCGGGTGCCATGTTGACGCAGTGCAATATTGGATAGTTGGTTGGAAAGGAGTTGTGGTGAAGCTTGAGTGTGTGATGCGCAATGGTGAACTGAGTTTTGTTGGAAGAGGCGCACAACATCTTTTATGTTCTTTTCAATATTCTCATTCTGAAGTCGGTTTCCCTTGCATGGCTCTTTGCCGGTGCCGGTGATGTTGGTTGTGATGGTGGACCCACCAAATCGGCGTGAAATCCAGCCGCCCTCGGAGACTTAACGTCAATGCAACTATTCCCAGTAGCGGACTTCACGGTCTCCGCTGTGCGCCACTTTCCCGTCCCTTGGACTTAACGGATTTACGAATAAGACACTCCGTGACATACATTTGACCTTTCGTCGTAGCTTTTCTCATTGGGCGCAATCAAAATTCGCATCTGTGTCGAATTAAGTCGTTACTTCAAGCCTGCTCTTTGTCAAGGGCGGTATAAGTGAAAGTGGGGCGCGATCGAAACCTGATAACAGACGCAACTTTCGTGGTTCTGAACCTCCCGTCGCAGCTTGGCCAAAATTACATCGAGAGACGTCAGCCAGCTCTTTCAATAAGGCAGCCTGATTGATCCTTCGGCAAGTTATTGCCCAAATTTCACGACACAAAGTGCACGAATGCCGATCAGAGAAACAACTGCCTGAGTTTGGGAAGATCTGCCCAACTAGCCAAACCCTGTTACGTACAGCACCACAGGGTCAGTGCTGAAGCCCAACTGAACCCACACACAGGAGAATATTGCCTAAACACTTTTTAGAAGGAAACTCCGCTAGAGACTAGACAGTAGAAAGTCCGCACACCTTTCATGGTAATGCTTGCAACATCACACTCGTGAACGACCTTGGACATATTACAAACCACCTCAATGAAGCTTTCTTACTTTCGGAACAGGCTTACTAGGCGAAGAAACCGTCCGCCTGTCGTTTCAAAAAGCTGTATTACGGAATGGACTCAGAGTATAAGTAAAGCCAAGTTGATCCCCAAGATCAGTTGTCGTCCATCTCGTACTCGGTCAATCAACCAGCATCAACTGAACACACCATCTGTCATTGAAATCCGTTCAACCATCCTCCATCAATAAGTCAACATGTCTTCCTCCAACTCTATCCGCTTCGATAACCGCGTCGCCATTGTCACCGGCTCTGGTCGCGGTCTAGGCCGCCAACATGCCCTTCTACTCGGAGCTCTTGGCGCTTCAGTGGTAGTCAACAGCACCACATCCACCACAGCACAAGCAACCGCCGACGACATCATCAAAGCGGGCGGAAAGGCCACCATTTGCGTTGGCTCCGTCTCGGATGAATCAGTCGCCCAGGCTTTGATCCAAACAGCCATCGATACTTTTGGCCGCATCGACATCATTATCAACAACGCCGGAACATTTGATCCTAAGCCGTTCGAGCAAACGACGGTCACTGACTTGCGAGACATGCTCTCGGTTCATGTCGAAGGGTCTTATAACCTCACCCATGCAGCCTGGCCTCACATGCAGAAGCAGAAGTATGGCCGCATCGTGATGATCACGTCTCACACCATATTTGGAATGGCCGGATCTGCGGCTTATGCAGCTGCCAAACTTGCCCTCGTAGGCATGGCCAAGACACTCGCCATTGAGGGAGAACCGCACGGCATCCTGGTTAACTCCGTGGCGACGACAGCATTTACCGATGCGGTCCAGAAGAACACCCCCGACGCGGGGATGCAAGCGTTCATGAAAGCCAACTTGCCTGCCGAAGACCCGGCGCGGGCTGTTATATGGCTGGCACACGAGGATTGCAAGGCTAATGGCGAGGTCATTGGTGCTCAGGGTCGAGTTGTCAGTCGAATCTTTCTGGCAGAGACCAAGGGGTTCCAGGGGTCTCGCGAAGGGCAGTGGGGGGTTGAGAACGTCCGTGATAGTTGGTCGCAAGTTGTTGATGAGAAGGACTACGTCGTACCTGCGAACACAAATGAGCTTGGAGGCTTGCTCTTCAAGCGGCTGGCATCTCAGGCTTAGTTGATTCGCTCATCTCACTTGTAAAGTCGCGCCATATGCAATGGAGGTTTATCGACACTAGGCTTCACTGACACCGTTGACGATGAGCGCGGACGAGATTGAGACATGGTGCGCCATAATTGTAGCAAAACTTCCAAGAAGATAACATTTTCGACAGTGAAATACTACTAGGAACTTTGAAAGACACCGGCATCTTCAAACAATTCTAACTATACTCTTGTCTCGCTCTTGAAACCAATTCATGCCGGCAGCGTTCTTAAATCTGAAATAACCTAATCTTTCCGATGTGTCCCGGCCGTTGCAGGTGAGAATGATCCCAAAAGAATAGTATACCGACCCGATGAATGTGCAGCGGAGCTCAAGGAGCTTCACTCTTTGATTGTCAGGCTCCCATAGACAGTCCCAAGTGACCTCTACTATCAACCTAGAAAGAAGTGGGTCGCGTCGCCGGCACGAAGACGTAGCTAAGTCAAGTTTACTTTTTGCATCTCCTCTTCCTTCTCTCTGTGAAGCGTCTGCAGACCGGACAGTGGGCGACTGACTACGTTGTCTTGAGGTCGGCTGTCCGCCGGCTTGTGACACATCATGTGCCATGAACGCAAGACCGTTCCACAAAGCCGTACGGACATTTCCCCTCAACGTTAATTGCTTTCCCGTGATTGCACCCGAAGGATCCGAAACGTCTGCTGGAACAATGTCGCATGCTATATATTCGGCAGTGTAGTCTCTTTTGTAGTCGCAGTCGTTGAGTTCTTTCCATCTCACCGGCGTTCTTTTAGACGCCCACGACCATGATGGTATCATCGTCTTTTCTCTCGTATTCTGCCTGTCTGTCCTGGTATCAATGTTAGGTTTGTCAGTGGCGCGGCGACAGAAAAGAAGCTGCCTTGGCATGTCCCTTTCCCACAATGCAGCCTTGCATTCTGAGATATCCCACCGCGTGGCCTTGGCCATCAGTTCGATCGCCCACGTGAAAGCCACGAGCTTATCATCTAAAGCGCCGCATTGTCGTTTTGAATAATCCGCACACATCTCGATGTACTTGCTTATACACATATCAAGATTGGATGAGCAGACCTGTTCCTTGCTCGCCATCAGCAAATCGAAAAAGGTTATCGTCTCGTTTCCCTCGTATGGGTCTGAAAGATAGCCAATATCGCTGTCTGCGCGACGTGACTGTTGACATTTCCATACCACTTTCTCGGTGTCGAAAGCCAGGGAGAACAGCGCTGCTTCGCTCTCTTGGTATGTCCATACCCTCGAATACAATGGATCCGATTTCCTTTCGAACCCACGTTCAACAAGGCGCATTTTGTCATTGGTGGTTCCGAGGCCATCACTTTGAGAGACTGGCAGTTCATACTCAAGATATTGCAGGTTCCTAGGTCCCAAAAAGCCTTCATCGCAGTGCGACGCTGACCCAGCTCCTATAACAATAGCCGCTCCAGCGTAAATATCGGGCATGTTTCGTAAAATGTCCCTCATCGCTGAACGGCTTAAGTTCTGCTCAATGCAAAGGGCATCTACCCATAGATAGCGGATTCCCAGAGCTCTGGTGACTCTGACCGCATCTCTAATCGTTTTAGGCAGCTCATCCATAGCCAAGGTCTCGAGGCGGGCCGACAGGTTGTCTGACGTAGTCATGTAGGCTTTAGAGCAGCCTTGCCCCCAGCAATAGCTGAGGATGGCATACTCGGTGATACCTTGAAAATTCAAGCTTTTGACGAGACGTGCTTCACTATTTTCATTCCATCCTATGTCGATGAGAAATTTTGGTTTCTCAAAACATATCGCCTCGGCTCTAGCCTTTTTGCATTTGGGGTGTCTCCGTACGCACTTGTTCATGCACTTCCTCATCCATCGGACTTTCTTTTTCGAGAATGGGAGTTGCCCTGGAGGTCTAGTTCTGATTTCCTTCAGAGCGCCTAGATTACATGTGTTATTGACGAAATTTACAAGTGTCAAGGATCAACTTACGATTGTCAGTGTAAGCAAGAAGATCGTCATAGGCTTCGATATCGCGGCCATTTTGGTTCACCCAATTGCAAGAGACAACGAGTATGCCATCATTCCAGTCGTTACTTATTTCCATTTCGAGGTTTTCGAGATCTTCAGGAGACTCTTCATCCTGTGGGATTTGTTGCTTGAGGATGTCTAGCCTTCGCTGGAAAAAGCTACACCCATCACGGGCGGCAGCAGACACATCATCAAACGACAGCGGAGGAGAATTCTGACCATGACCAAGTTCTATCGATAGAAGCTGGCAATGGTAGCAACGATGGATATTTGTGTTCGAGGACGCCATTGTAGGTCTGGAACATAAACGCCGTACACTGGGCAACGGTTGAGACAGGATCAAGGGATGACGGATTCGACGAGAGACGCGTTCCAACGCGTTTAGGCTACCCCTCAATCGAGAACAGGGGCAATTCGCTGCAGGTCAACGTTCGTTGGTCGAATTTTCTCGGATCAGGCTTACGTACTCCGAGGATGATTGGTGCCCCTTAGCCCATGATGATTGGAAGATCAGCAGGGCTGCTATTGGTCGTCACGTTCAGGAGCGTGAATGTAACCGCTTGTTGAGAACATTGAATCGGAAAACGTGGTTTATTCACATGCAGCAGAGGCTGTCGGCATGACAGACAAAAGATCGGTGTTGCTTGGGCAAGTAAATGTTTCGTCCCCTATCATTTCCCGCTGAAAGCCTTTTCTCTGTCATTTTCTTCCCTTTGAATCCAAGAGGCGTTGGTGGAAAGAGTTAGGGAGTGTCTAACAGCTGTGATTACGTGACGATTGAGAGATCGCGGCATCGACAGGCTGTGAGGTGAAACAATCAGACTGTATACAGTTTGTTCTAAAGGCTCATGCTACATGTCATGATATACTTGTAGAAAGCCGACGTTAGTAAGGTACCTCATGTCGATATTCCTTGTCAGTGAAGGCGGGGCTGAAGCCGCGAAATATCAGGAACCAGTGAAAGGAGATCAGAAAACCTTCAAAGTCTTATTTCTAAAAAAATCTCCGCTATGTATCTATGATCTGATGAGTTTCCAAGCACATTCAAGGACTTTTGCTGTACCGTCCGGGACTTGAACTGTTCGGTGAACAAAGAACCACACATAAACTAGATTCCACTTCCCGCATCGATCCACCATCCGACCCCAAACAGCCGCTAAAACAAATCGCAATGTTTTGGGCTTTCAGATTAATCTAGTCTAATTAAGACGTTAAGCAGTCTAGCAGAAGCTTTTCGCTCCTTATTGCGTATGCCTGTCGTTTGTTTACCTCGCGACTCAGTCGCGTTGTGGGATCCAACAGAATGGCATGTTCGCGAATAGGATGTAGTCAGATGCGAAAAAGTGTCTGTGCAGTTATGTGCTCACCTTAGCAGTCTGGAGACGGAGAGCCCGACCTGCAACGCGCCTGACCTGGAGATGTTATTTAAGAGAGTGTCGATATACCGGGGTTACCGCTGGACAAGGATTATGAACATGGCCAGTGCTGCGCACAACGCGTTTAACGAATTTTCAGCTTTTGCGCCTTCACTCAACGTACTCATCATTATTTCAACTTGGTCCCATGCGAAGGATTCGCATCGGGGGTGTCCCCATTGGTTGCTCAAAAGTTCTCACGATGGGCTAGAACGATGTTTGCCAATGCCGACGAAACACCCCCAAGTCGCGCGACTCAAGCCAATGCGAGCCCCTTTACGAAGACATGCGACCTTGCCCACTGGCAAACTCGAGCCCCCCGACCGTTCTCGTATAGCCAAGCCAATGAGGGTTACATTATTAATTAAGGGACAGTGGAATATCGACTAATCGGGACGGTGGTGGATACGGGTCCACTTCCCTTTCTGTGTTGGTCGTCAAAATCCACCTTCTCCGTTTCTAAACTTCGCGATTCGAGCTTCGCGCCAAAGAGCCGCATCTTTTGGCGCGAACTGTTCAGGAGCGCAGATCTCGCTGCGAGATCGAGTGATCAGCGTGGGTTTCGAGATCAGTTCTTTTGGGGCGATATGTCTTGTTCCTCATAAGCTGCTCCATGTCCCGGCTCGGCCTCCTCGGACTCTTCCCCTCGCCTAATCCTCTTTGGACTTCCTCAAGTTTCGCAGCACGGTGCACCTGAACGGTTGCCATGGACCCGTCAGGGTTGACACGCCGGTGGATCTTCGGATGGATCCGCGGCCGGAAGCTCGTTCAAAAGGGACAACCTCGACTGGATTGAATCGGTTGCGGCCCCTCGATCTGGAAACTCGCTCGTCCCTTGCCAATAACACCGCCCATAGTTGACAGGGGAATTTAAGGGAATTACCAGCGATGCGGGACCTCCTCGCTTGATCGCGGCGCAGTCACGGCGACGAGTCGAGCCATTTTGTGCCTGGTCCTCGTGGTCGTCGCCGCGAATATAATCGGCGAGATTCTGCTGTCACTTTTTGCACTCACTGGTCTCTCTTGCATCTGCAACTGCGGCAGTTGAATTCAAGGTCATCACTCGTTCTGCCTTGTGCTGTTGTCGTTCATTTGGTCCCTGCCGGGTATAATCCTCCAATCGTTAACCAACCCCAACTTTCTTTGCCTCTCATTTTTGTCTCTTTTCATCTTTTCCTCTCGTGGTCATTAAGTTGTGCCATAATATCTTAATCTTTTCAGTCACTCATCATGCGCTACACATCGACTCTCTCTTTGTTGGCCTCTGGGGCAATTCAAGGCGCCCTTGCCTTGGACGCCGCCGGATGGCGCAACCAGAGCATCTACCAGATCATCACTGACCGTTTTGCGACGTCTGATGGCTCGGCCCCAGAGTGCGACACCCAGATCGGCAAGTACTGCGGTGGTACCTGGAAGGGCATCACGAGCAAGCTCGACTACATCCAAAACATTGGTGCCACCGCCATCTGGATCTCGCCCATCGTCAAGAACATTGAGGGATTCATCACCAACGCCGGAGAGGCCTACCACGGCTTCTGGACTGAGGACATCTACTCCCTCAACGACCACTTCGGCACCGAGGCTGACCTGAAGGAGCTCACTGACGCCCTCCACGCCCGCGGCATGTACCTCATGGTTGACATCGCCCCCAACCACGTCGGTCTCAACCAGAACCCTGGCGACTACTCCAAATACGTCCCCTTCAACAAGCCCGAGTACTACCACAAGGAGTGCTCCATCAACTGGAACAACCTGAAGTCCGAGCAGATCTGCTGGCTCGAGGGTCTGCCCGACCTGAGGACCGAGGACGCCTACATCCGCAAGGTGTACGCCGAGTGGATCAAGGACTTCGTGACCAAGTACAACATTGACGGCCTCCGCGTTGACACCGCCCTCGAGATCGAGCCCGAGTTCTTCACCGTGGGTGGCTTCAGGGAGGCTGCCGGCGTCTTCCTCCTCGGTGAGATCAGCCACACCAGCCTGGACACCCTGGCCCCCTACCAGCAGGTCATGGACGGCTTCATGGACTACAGCGCCTACCACCAGCTCGCGGACTCCTTCAAGAAGGTGAACAGCGACCTCGAGGTCGTCTTCACCGGCACCAACGAGATGGCCGCCAAGACCAGCATCGACCCCTCCCTCCTCGGCTCCTTCGCTGAGAACCACGACCAACCCCGCTTCCCCTACACCAACAAGGACATGGCCCTGGCCAAGAACTTCTACGCCTTCACCCTGCTCCGCGACGGCATCCCCATCATCTACTACGGCCAGGAGCAGCACTTCTCCGGCAGCACCACCCCCAACAACCGCGAGGCCCTCTGGCTCGCCGGCTACGACATCAACTCCGAGCTCTACGGCTGGCTCCAGCAGGCCAACAAGATCCGCGTGCACGCCGCCAAGGCCAACGCCAACTTCCTGACCACGGAGCGTACTCAGGCCGTCTTCTCCTACGGCAGCGACGACCAGAGCCGTGTCATCGCCTTCCGCAAGGGTCAGCTCTTCTCCATGTACACCAGCGGAGGCGTCAACGCCGCCAACAACGCCATGTTCGCCATTGCCCGCAACGCCCACCTCTTCGCCATCGGCTCCGAGGTCATCGACGTTGTGAACTGCGAGTCCTTCACCGTTGCTGACAAGGGCCGCCTCTGGGTGCAGATGCCTGCCGGAGGTCTCCCCCGTGTCTTCCTGCCCAAGGACCAGGCCGAGGGCCTGTGCAACGACGTCAAGGCGCCCCTTTCCAGCGCCACCGTCAAGGTTGCCGTTGACAAGAACTCTGGCTACAACAAGCGCTCGCTGCCTTTTGTCACCAGGACGATGGCTTAAGTGCAAGACGTAGTCATGCCTGTGTAGATATGTTCAGATACGAAGCGTTATATGTCTAATGTTTAATTTTAATTAACACTCGTTCATACAAAAAAGCTCATGTGACATATGTCGTCCCTGTCCTCGCCACGGTGACTGTGGCTTGGTTCGTCCGTTAGCCATAAGATTGATATTCCGCATGAGCTCTTGCGTAATGTTCGTCTGCCAGCTGATCCACGTCACGGCATAGCCGCTCTAAGCCGCACGTTGTCTCCATGATTCTTTTCCCGGAAAACAGGGAGGTCACTCCAACGAAGTCTCAGTCCACCATTGAGTGAGCTTGAGTCTGCAAAAGACCCGCCTTTCGGTTTTGTGGACCCATTCTAGGATTCAATCACTGTCAGGCTTCCATTATATGGGCCAATCAGAAGCTTGAGGTGTGGGCGGTAGGATCGCACTGCTTGTCTTGAACCTGTGATCTGCATAGGATCTAAAGACGAGGTGATGGCCTCCGAGTAAGGCTTGCGCACTCTGGGCAGTATTTAAAGTGAATGCAGGTTCGACAGGACGGTCGGATGTATGAAGCAAAACAACAACTGCATACATTTATCCCTCCTAACTGCGACTTAATCAACTAATTTCAAACTGATTAACGACTACAACATGAAGTATTTCGCGCTTTTAATCGGCTTTCTCACTCTCTTAACGCCTAGTCTGAGCCTGGCAACACGCTACCTTCCCCGCTCTCCTGTGCCGGAGCCCGCGCCTGGAATTTTGGACAACATCAACGACTTGTTTGGCGACTTGGTCGACGATATAAGCGACGCGGGAAAGAAGGTTTGGTCCAAGCTCGACGACGGGCAAAAGAAGATCTTGGACGGCAACAAGAGCCTCACGGCTGATGGGTGCAAGATCGTGCCTTGTGGGGTGGAATTGGGCGTGACATCGGCGACTTGTCTCGTTGCTGTTCTGGGACGCAAGGGAGCTGGAAAGACGGCAGACCATCTGGGCTGCTTGGCTTCGGTATGTCCTACTGCCCCTAACAAAACCCGTGGCTTTCTTAGTTTCGTAATTGGAGCGCTGACGTTTGAGGCTGTCACATAGGTCGTCGAGACTGAGCAAGACCTCAAGAGTAAAGAAGTGTGCGGTCACTGTTGGTCTGCGATTACGGGCTTAATGGACATGGATAAAAAAGTGTAGACAGATGACGAAAGTAAGGCTGAAGAATGCCTGCCCCCAGTCAGATGGCGTCGCTAGCCCGAATATTGAAATCAAAGCTCTTTCGAAAGGCACATTTCGTCCCACATAATTGGCTTCCCAGCGCAAAATCTACCATGTCATTCGCAGAGCTGTCAATCATGCTTACTTTGGTCGTTTAGTGCTTCGAATCTTGACAGGGATTCGACAGCTGATGGGGTGCAGGGTAAGCGCAGCCTGCTTCTACCTGCGAAGTTGTGTGACACAACGACAACAGAAACGGAAAAGATTCCCGTACCAACTCAGCATGCCGCGAGCCAAAATGAAGTATCAGCCAATTGATTCCAGCTAAAGGGAATTCAGCTCTGAGGGCGTGCAGGCTCGAATTGGCCAAAAAGGTTGTCCTGTCCCGGATTACAGAGCATGTTGCCTTGTACACCTTTTCCTCCTCTCTTCGACATTTTTCTTCAGGCCATTGCAATTCTATAACAGCTTTCCCCAATGGCCATTTTGAAATCAGCGTTTTGGCCATCTTGCCTTCCCATTTTGAGTCTTGCTTTAGCAGAATCGCAGACAGCAGACGACATTCAACGGCTCATCACGGAACAAAATGGAGACTCGAAGGCACTCTCGGCGATCTCCGCAGCATCTTGGGTGGACTCTCCGAAAGTGAGAGGAACTGTCGATATTCTATTGACTTGCGTTGTTACGCTAGTTGCATGTGTCTGGTCGGTGCTTCATCAGAATATGTAAGTGAAGACAGGACGTTACACGGGCTTTTTCGACAAGCTCAGATGGACTTTGATTGCTATACTTGCTCCCGACACCGTGCTTGTGGTTGCGGCAAATCAGATGATTGCAGCCCGCGGACTGCGGAAAGAGCTGAAAATGCTGCAGGCGCGGAAAAACAAAACCTACCTTGTCGTTCGTTTCCAATTACTGTCTTCCCTTTCAACCCATGGACCGAGCACCTAGCTAATCAAGAGTACCGGAAACAGGACGTCCCGCTTAACTTCTGCTTCTCTGTCGAAATGGGCGGCTTTCAAGTGGACTTGGATCTTGAGGGTATTAGTCTCGGCCCATCCTTCATGGCTTCATGCCCTGAAAGGTTACCGCTATCTCCTGCCGGTTTCTTGAAGTTGATTGACATGGATCTGCTGAATCTCGAAAAGATGATGAAGCATGCCAATGTCACTGAAAAGAGCAAAGCAAATGTATTCCAGAAACTCCTGATTGCAACTCAAGTTATCTGGATGTTCATTCAATGCATTGCTCGAAAATCGCAAGGCCTTCCAATCATACTTTTGGAGATACATACAGTCGTCCATGTTGTGTGCGCGCTAATAGTATTGCTTTGCTGGACCTCGGTAAGTTGTCACAACCTCTGTAGTAACTAAGCGCTGACCAAAGTCAGAAACCTCTTGACGTCAACACTCCCGAGATCGTGGAATCGGAGTCTGACAATGTTCTTGGATTCTTCAGTCTTGCAATTCAATCTCAAATATGCGAGCAGAAATTCGTTCTTGTGGGTCCCCGCGACATCCACAGTTACACAACTGCAATCCGGCAGGATGCCAATGAGGATGACCTAGACGCTGAGAGGGAGCTTCCACGCATCCTACATCTTCGGCCCAAAGAGACACTGCCGTTCGGATTCAAATATGAGGGTGGCCCGAATCTGCATCTTCAGCCAACCGACATGCTTCGCCTGCGACGAGCCACACAATTTCTCCGCGATCATTACGGAAGGGAATTACGGCATCCAAACCAGGCTCTTCCCATGTCTCAGTTCGGCTCATTCTTCTCTGAAGGGGGCAACTATGCCTACAGCATTTCTGGCCGATACAAGGGTCTCGCTCTATGGGAGCAAGCCTCATTGCTTGTCATTGGACCCTGGTTCTATACTCATGAAGAAGAGGAGGGCGTGTTAAATGTTAGCTACCGGGTTTCTATTTTTGCGCTACTTGTCACACTCGTATACAGCGGGCTACATCTGTCAGCATGGAGTGCCAGGTTTCCCACACAGGTCGAGGAGATTTGTTGGAAAGCGGCAGGTATCATTCCCATCGGAAATGCCCTCTTTGCGCTTTTCGTCATCTATGTTATTGAGTTTGATACTCCCTCAGGTCTTTCCTTTTTCACTAGCAAAGTTTTTCCGGCGGCACTTCTTATGTTTGGGGCGCTGAACGGTATGGCACGCATTTATTTGACTGCTGAATCTTTTGCTAGTCTTCGCAATCTCCCGATAGGTGCATTTTCGATGCCCGTCTGGCTGCAGTTATTTCCCCACATCTGATTGTTATGTAGCTTAAATTAACATAAACACAATTATCATAGTAAAGCTATTAAAGTTAGAGAGCTTTTCTAGTTGAGCCTTACTTAAGCACCTCACGCTTCCATCAATAAATGTGACGGTCGTGAAAAATGGGCAAAAGCGATGAAGAAAACCTGTTATAATAACATAGCAGCACTCAGTAAAAAATGATTGTCCTCGGAGAGGCTCGAACTCTCGACCTTTGGATATCTCTATCTGTGACAGAGTCATATTGAATAATATGAGACCAACGCTCTACCGACTGAGCCACGAAGACCGCTTGATACTAACTGCCTAGTCGGTAACGTCTCAAGAATCGAGGCCGGGACGGTCAACAGGTATAAAACATTCCAAGAGGCAAAATATTGACCAGCCTGGGGGTCGAACCCAGAATCTCCTGATTTCACGATCGAATCGTAGTCAGACGCCTTGCCATTGGGCCAACCGGCCAGTTAAACTGGGATGAATCCCAGTGGATGTTGAGGAGCTTAGCGGGGAGGGAGTTCAAGAATGTGCGGGATGCAGAGTTTTCACGATGGAGGCGGGTGGGTGCAGAAAGCGGACCGTCGATTGTAAGAGAGAGAAGTTTTGCGGTTGGCGACGAGATAGGTTGTGGATGGAGGCGTGGCTTCGGCCCCGTCGACGGCGTTCGGGGTGGATCTTGGGGACCGAGAATATTTTGCTAGCGTCGTAGGCGGGGCGCGGACTATGCCGGAGTCTGGAGATGGTTCCGGCTGGAGATGGCCTTGGAAGAGAGAAGCGCAGCGAAGTAGGACGGAGATAGCCTGTTTCAACGCACTCAAACTCAGTGCCAGGCTTTCTCTTGGTGCTTTCTGATACTAAGTGCACCAGGGCTCGGTCTTGCTAACTCCAGGATGACACATTCATACAAGCGTGACTCTGCATCTTCCTAATCAGAAATCTCACACATATGCCAATACTTGTTTTGGAGGAGGGATTACCTATGAAATTGCTCGGAGAAATGCTGAAGACCGTTGGCTTGTACTCACACACCGGGACTTTACCCAGCACCGTCCCCGGTGATCTTAGCCGGTGGCCGATGGGTAACCCGGAGCCGAAGCCGTACACCCATTCAGACGAGACATGTCAGCTAAAATCGATCTCCTAAAGATTACAAAGATCGATGGCAATATGGCATTTTGATTGATACACGTGGTCGATTAAAGATGGTGTCCAGTTTCATCTCATCTAGACACAAGTGTGTCTCAACCCATCGCCACCACGGCATGCAAGTCTAGAACAGACGACGATCCGCCCGAGAATGCAACCTCACTTCGGCCAAAACTGTAGAATTAGAGGCTAGGTTTGCCCGACTTATGAAATCCGTGTGCCAACCTGGTTGTTCGTCACGGATGTCTCCGTCATTCAGGCTCGCCGGGCGTCGCCGTCGCGGGCCGCCCCTGGTCCAAAACGGAACCAGTCCTGCAAGCACTTTCACTAACGTCTGGTGATGCGACCCTCACACTCAATTGCGACGGCCTCTGAACGAAAGGCTGCGGAAGTCGAAAAAAGAGGGTGGCTGGGGCGCCGGCCGGGCAGGCACTCGTCGATCGGCGACCATGTCGTGAGCCCAGACAGCCCACCCACAACTCCCATGTGGCAGCTACTGCTGCAGGGGCTTTATCTGCCCTTCCCGCTGATTAATTGTTCTCCCCCCATCATGCTGCAGTCTGGCCCAACGCGGAAGGGATTGAGCGCCGGCTCCTGTCGGCAGTATGAAGGTATTTCCTCATTTTGCTAGTGGCCAGCACAGAAACGGAGCAGACATTGTGCGATGCATGGCAGCGCGCGAATCCAGAACGTGAGTCCGGGGGATGGTTTCCAGGGAAGGAAGGAGAATTATTGTGCATGTTCGGAGAATTCCACTCAGGGAAAGAGATGCGTGCTGCGGGGTAGTGCTGACGGAGCACACAATAAGCATATCGCTGCATGCAGGTCCCGGGGTTTTTATGTCTGGTGTGGTGAAGGTCCGTAGGCTTCGGACAGAATTGCTATGGATGAGTGCGTGTGGGAAGTCTGATTTTGGGGCCTTTTCTTGTCTGTGCCTTGGTCAATGTTGAGAGTGACATCGTGTGGGACGAAGCCGCGTGTTCGGACGGGGCCGCTGTCAATTGAACTTAATCCAGGTGGGGGAGCGAGAGTGGTGATACCTCTGTTGTGTCGACTTTGTGTTGGTGTATCATCATTCCTCAGTTCTATCGAGTCTGGAATGCGATCCAACGGACCCAAACCAAACTTGAATGTTCCAAGGTTTCGGAGTCGTGAGAACCAAATTCCCCTCATCCACATCAACATCTCGGGACCGAGGCCTCCCAAGAGCCAAGACTCACTTCTCTTCAGCCACCAGCACGCAAGTGAATGCATTTGTTTCGTTTCTCGTACTCAAGCAATACTCTACCATTTCGGCAACCCAGGCCTACGATCATAACAGGCGCATTATACCCACGATGCTAAAGAAGCTGGAGCCTGTGGTCGTTCAAGATGAGATATCAAAAGCGGGGGTTTCATATCGCAACCCCTGCAGAAGTCCTCTAGACGCATGCGTCCCCATCAGGAGGCTTGGGCCGAGGCCGAGGTGAGGTTCGACGTTATCGTCCGATAATTATTCCGGTAGCAGAATAAGATGGATGGGTGGCTCGCTCAACAAGGCGAAGAGTGTGTAAATGGAAACTCCCTATTGGTCTCGCGCCGGAACACTCCCGACGGCAGGAAGGCAGGAAGGAAGGGGGGGAAAGGTGTGGATGGGGCCGGGATAGAGAGGATGGTGTGGGTGATAATGCGTCGCTTTTCTCCTTCGACATTTTGCCTCCTTCTTCTTTGGGGGACGCTGCGATGTGGCAACCATGAGAGGGATGGGTGCGGCTAGTTGAGATGATAAATATACGATTCGGAATATGCCATTATTGTGAACTTATGGTCTGTGCCTCTTTCACTACCGATTCATCGACGACATGGTGATATTGTGACGGTCGACCGTACCATGGCTCAGATCCCGGAAGACGCCGTGGGCACGGTCGTTGGGGTCCTTATTTACTCCGTTATATGTCTCTTGGGGAGTTTGATGGTAGTATGGCTTGCTTGGCAACACGGTGAACGGATAAGCTGTATGTTGCGTTGAACGTGAAGTGAATGCCGACACTGACTGATGGATCTAGATGTGAACTGTTTAGCATACTTCACGACGCTGAGCACGGTTTGCTCCATCATACAGCAAACGAGACTGGTGTTGTATTGGGAGGATATCATGACTGCGCGGTTTGATTATGCGGTAACCAATATTGCGAGCCCTGAAGCAGTGATATCAAATGCTGCGATAGGGGAAGATTTGGTGCTCTACTACATTCGTGAGTCTTTTGACCTGAGTCACGATGGATTACCACTGACATGGCCAAGAATACTACTGTTATAACGTGCTTGCGTTGTTCGACATGTTCTGGTGCGAATACCCGGGTTAATGGAACAATACCTGCATGATGCTAACCACAACTCAACAGGGCTTTCGCACTGGCGCAATCTGTCTGGGGTCTGAATGAGAAGCCGAAGCTCAAGAGACCACTTCTGATCATCAACCGAGTCGGCAAGGTCTTTTCGCCCTTGTTCCCTTTGATTACAACAACCTGCCTGCAAGCTCCGTCAATACGGAACAATTTTGGCGGATTCTTGTTGCTGGCTGGACAGCCATGTAGGTCGGCCATTTCCCAGCAGAGCTGGAAGAATACTGACAACAACAGTGCTATGGAGCATCGGCTTTGGCAGCGTTGCAACTCTGGCCATATTGATACGGTACATCCAATCCCGACGAAGGCTGCAGAAGTTGAACGTCGGGTACGGCCAGCCGTCATCGAGAGAGCACAGCGGGCGTAGGCCCCGCAAGACGAGCATCTATGACAGATGGCTCATGCTGCGATTCATGATTTCGTTTGTGATTCTGGCGTAAGTTGCGTGGCATTCCGTCCGAGATATCACCGACAAATCTAACTCTTGATAGCATGTTTGAAGTCACCATCATGTTGTTTTCGACGAGCGCGAGAAAGAACATTGCCGTGGACCACGTCCGGCTCACGCCAGACATCTCCGCCAAGCGAGCGCGGCAAGATTTCCTCCTCTTCATGCCTGGAGTCACTGCATCCCTCCTCGTGTTTCTGGTCTTTGGCACCACGAAGCCGTTCATCGAGTACATGCGCAAGTGCCTCTCGAGACTCTTCACGAGACGCCCCAGGAGGAGGACTGCGTCGACGGAGGCACTGCCTCTGAGGTCGATACGCAGTCAAGACACCATGGCGGAAAGCTGCGGCGTGACGACGCCCGAGATGTCTCACCAGCGGAGTTTCCGGGGGATAGTTGTGGATAGTCCCGGGGGAAGAAGGACGTACGAGGTCTGGGTGTACGGGGGTAATCCAAATGCGAGGATCGTGGGGGACCAGAACTGCCCTTGTCATTCTGAGAAGGTATGACGCCATGAGACGGGGCCTCAGCCGTGTCTTGCATTGCGTCAGGGGGGTTCCAGCTTGTTATTAGACAGACAGACGTCAAAAAAAGTAATCATGACCAGAGAGGCAGATATCCCTGGCCGGTGAGACGAATCTGGTCGGCGAAGGGTGGCACGGCACGGAGCTGAGCGAATCACTTCCGTTCGCAGCGAAACATGGCAGCGTTCTGGACCTTTGGATTAGCGTTGCAGAGCGCTGGAGAAGCAGCAAGCTACGGGGAGCTTCCCAGCCCGCGGCAGCCAGTCCCCTGACGCTCGCCCAATCAGACGGGCCCAAAGTGACCTGCTACAGGGGGGAGGTACCCACTAGTGACATAAGGCTGCTGCGAACGGCCGAGCGCCTGCACTAACAGGAACCCTACGGCGCGTCACCACGCTGCGATAAGGCCGATAAGGGATCACACACCTGACGAGCTCCAACCTTATCGCGACATCATCCTCGTCCCCTACACCATCCCATCTACCTACACTACCCGCCCGTCCTCCCGTTCCTCCATCCGCCCTCCGTTTCCCTTTCGCACCCTGCTGGACCTGACCACCTATTATCGCAGACCTCTTTGCCCTTTTCTTCTAAATATGCATCGATTCAATTCCTGACCATCTCCGTGAAGTCAGCAAAACCCTTTTGGCACCCACCTTTTTTCTTCGTTCCTTCTCCATTCAACATGGCGAACTCGCCGTCGCAGAGCCGGAGCGCAGCCTCGTCCACCTCTGCCGGCCGAGACTCCCTTTCGCATTCCAGAGACCGCCGCGATCCCGCCCCCTCCGACTCCGCCTCCAACGCCGCCGACCCCGTCCCGGTTGAGACACTAGTGGAACACCTGCTCGCCGCCAAACGCTCCCTCTCGTCCATGACGGCCGTCCTGCGCGCCAACGAGATCACCACCGACGCCCGCCAGGCTCATGAGGAGGCCGTCGTCCTGTACGCCGAGAGCCAGTTCCTGAAGCGCGCCATCGCGGAGCAATTGGCGCTGCTGATGAAGGTCCGCCGCGGCCTGAAGAGGACCTACGATGCGGGCAAGCGCGACTTCAAGAACCTCGTCAAGACGATGGATGCGACCAACGAGAAGCTGCAGGATACCATGGCGATGCTCAAGAACACGACCGTCGAGTCTGTCTTCAGGCCGCCCGGGGAGGAGCGGCGGAATCTGATGGATTTCGTGGACGAGAAGAGCGTCCACGTCATGGTCGAGGCTCTGAAGCAGAGCCTCGGCGAGCTGCAGGTGCGTCATCCATCCGTTTGCATCCCATGCACACCACTGACTTTTGATGTACAGGCTATCCAAACCTCATTTGATGGCGACCTCCTCCGATTCGATGACGACCTACGAGCCTTGAAAAAGACGATAACGACGACACCCTTACCCCGATCGCTGTCGAACTCCTCCCATCATGACCCGATCCCCGAGCTGCTGGTGTCGCTCGTCGAACACTCGCACTGCATGGCGCAGCTTCTCACATCCCTCACAAAACACTTTGACCTCTGCGTCACGGCGGTGCGGACGACCGAAGGCGGCGCGGCCCTCGCACGCCGCAGGGCGGCGGAGGTGACGCAGTCCCAGGGCGGCGACGGCGTCTCGATATCGGGCGTCATCGCCGACCAGGAGTCGCACATGCCGGACCTCGAGCCCATCACGACGCAGGACCGCGCCGACATGCTGGACATCGTCGTCAGCGACGCGGCCGAGGTCGACAGCGTGATCCAGGAGATCAACGAGCGGCTGCACGCGATGGAGGAGGACTTTGCGGCGCTCACGGCGCAGACGGGGCAGACCAAGGCGGCGTTCCTCGGCACGCTGGACGCCTTCACGGCGCTCGAGGACATTGGCGGCCGCGTGCCGAGCTACATCGCCAGCGAGGCCGAGTTCCTGCAGCGGTGGGAGGACGAGCGGTTCACCATCTACGGCAAGCTCGGGGAGATGGACGACCTGAGGGACTTTTACGAAAAGTACGCCGGTGCGTACGACAACCTGATCCTGGAGGTCGAGCGGCGGCGGTTGGTGGAGGACAAGATCCAGAACATCTGGCGCAAGGCCAAGGACAGCGTCGACAAGCTTGTCGAGAACGACAGGCGCGAGCGCGAGGGGTTCCGCCAGGATATCGGCGAGTTCATCCCGACAGACCTCTGGCCCGGTATGGACGCGGGGATGAAGAGGATGGAGCTCGTGGCCGTGGCCGACGACGGGTCCGCGGAGGAGGATGCGGGCGGCGGCGGGTCGCGGAGCACACCGGCGCTGGACCGGAGCGTTGTGGATGCGGCGCGGGACAGGTTGGAGCGAAGCCAGCAGCGGTAGTAGCGTTGTAATGTGTAGCGCTTTGTTCCGTTATTATGCGTTTTTTGTTTTAGGATTATTCTGGATGGGTCGTTCTCCTCTCTTTTCCTTCACTTTACTGGCGTTCATAGAAAGGATGGTTGGCCTTCAGCTAGGCTCGGGAATGGAATTGGTTTGGGAAATCGGCACGGCGGCGATCTGTTCCTTTTACGGCTTTTTATTTCCTACTTGGCTGGCAATGTCGGTTTTTTTTTCTCATTCTCCGCTTTGTATGAGTTTGTCGTAGTAGTGGTATTCTTAGCCCTTGTAGGATCGACAATTTCACGTCTCTGGTTGTCTAAGAATGGCACGAGGCCTTTTTTCCCCGAGACCGCCCCTGCCGACTGTAGTTCTTGCGTAGGATTGAGGGACACCACGGTTGGGGGCGCAACCGAGTGTACTGCTCGGGTACGAAACATCCGAATAGTGACAAAATGTAACAATGGCAGAGACGACGACAGCAGCAGCAACGACAGTGGTGACGACGATATTAGCGACGACAACGGCAAAGGCATAAGAAAATGCAGTCGCTGGGGCAAAGCATGAACAGGTGGTTAGTGGTCACCGTACTATTATCATTAGTTTCAACGCATGAGCGGTTGTCGCGTGCGATCGTGCGATGCTCCAGCGGCAGACGATGCGCTGCGACAGTCTGCGACAGCGACGATTGACAAATGGGGGCCATCAGCAGCAACAAAACCTGACGCAGGCCAACGACAAGTTTTAGGCTCGAGGGGACAGTTCTGTTATTCGCCGCATGGACCCCGATTAACGCGAAGAAAAAACGCTCTAGCCACGGGGTGTATTCTGGGCTCTCTCTAGGCGTGCGATTCGGAAGTATATCTTAGCGAGTATATATAGGTGGAGATCTTACTAGGGGATAGTTTACCTTACTATTAAGCCTAATTAGGTAGTAATCCTAACTTAGGGGTTAGCCTATATATCTATCTATTATACGCCTCACCTACTTACTCTTAAACTTACCCTCCTTCTTATATAATAATAATAATATATATATATAGCTAAAGTAATAGTATTTAGAGTTATTACTACTATTAATACCTCTAGTTATTAATCCTTAGCCTTAATACTATATTAATAGTTTTAAAAAGTTTTACTAACTATTAAGATATATAAACCTCCTCTTATTAACCTTCTTAGATATAATATTTATACTTAAAGTATATATTTATAAAGATCTTAATTTATTTATAAACCTTAAGATAGGTAAGTAAAGTAATAGTCTTAGAAACTTATCTCTATAGTTAATAGACTTCTTAGGTTTTATAGAACTTATAGCTACCCTCTCGCTATATATCTACCTAATATTATTAATAGAAGTTATTAATTATATTATTAAGTAATTACTACTATAGTATATAGTAGTAGGATAGGTATTAATAGTACTAAAAGAGATAATTATAACTAATTATAATACTTAAGTTATTAAGGTTAATAGTATTAAAGTTATTACTAAATATAGTATTAACTAAGTTAGTACTTTTATTAATTAATTCTTACGCTTTATATACCTTATTAATAATCTTTTTTTATATAAATTTAAGGAAATAGTATAAACTTAATAGAATAGTAGCTTTAAATAAGATCTTTTTAGTAGTATAGTAGTAATAATTAGTTTAATTATAGTATTAGCTATTAATATAGTTATAATATTTAATAATCTTATAGAATAAAAAATAAGCTATTAGAGCCTTATAGTTATACTTAAGGGAAGAGTATTATAACTTAAGAGCGTTAATTAAAGTAGTTTATAAGAGGAGTAGTAAATAGTTATAAGTATAATTAGCCTACTATATATAAGTTAGTAGCTAGTTTTTATATATATATACTTTTTTTAATTTAAGAGTAATAGTAACTACTTTTTTAATAGCTTTAATATACTTATACTTTATATAATAAAATTTCAAAGTAGAAAATAGTAGTTTATAAGTTTTATAGTACTTTAAGTTAGTTAGTTAGTAGTTAAGAGTTCTCTTATAGTAAATATAATAGAGGAGGTATATAACTTTAGTCTTATTAATTTTAAAACTAAGGAATACCTTATAGATAGTATATTACTTAATAGTAGAGTTATTAATTAAAAAGTAGTATAAATACTACTTATAGCTATATTATTAATACTATACTTTAAACTAATAGAGGTAAGTAGTAATAATATCTCTATTAACCTTAGTAATAATAAAATAAACTATAGATAACTAAATACTTATTAAATTATATACTATTACTATATAGAGGAACTAATTAAGCTAGTTAGTCTTATAGGTAGTATCTATTATAATAAAAAGACCTTATTAAGTTAGTAGATTAATAGAAATCTATCTAGCCTAAATAAAGCTATTAGAACTAATACTATTACTCTAATATTATTTAATGTTAATATATTTAAATAAATACTCTTATAACTATAATAAAAAAGACTTAACTTTATTAACTTATAACTCCTTATAATAGTTATACCTAATAACCTTAAGATTAAGGTTTTCTTAGAACTACTTACTACTAGTGTTATAGACACCTTACTAAGTTAGCTACCTACCTCTTATAGTAATTAAAGCTTTCTTAATTATTAACATATAACATTCTTTTATAATAATAATAATAATATAAGAATAATAATAACGCTTAACTAACTTTAATATTCTATATAAAATAAACGAATAAAGTTTAAGGTATTAAACCTTATATAAAAATACTCTATTTATTATAAC